ATCACCCAAAAATAACAAACACAATAAAAATATTCACTCTTTATATGAGAAGCATGAGCATTTGAGTAGTTTATCTCACCCGGAATATATATTTTCATTATTTTTTGATTATACACTTCTTGTTCATCGTAAACTAAGAAAGAGATTTTGGAACCTTTCGAAATTGAAAACCCCAGTTTGTAACGACACTTTTGTGAAACATCCTGTATTATATCGAATATCTGCATTTTTTTTCATTTAACAACTCTTCCACAAGTTTGAGCCAAACCGTATAATTTTTCTCAAAAGTAGATCCCTAAGATATAATCATCTCTTCTTCCCGTCTTATAGAGATGAGTGGAAAGTATCGTTACCCATGCTTTCCCTCGAAATTCGTACTTTCCATCTCAGATTCCAGCCAACTTAAATGCTGCGATGTAATACCGATAATTCCACAAGCCATTCCAGAAACTCAAATGAAAACAAAATTGAGTGTAAAAGATTGCGATAAAATCTGGGTCAACAGGCAGAGCTTTTCGTTCCGAAATGAATGTAAAGATGAACGACTACCACTGAAAATGTTCTTTCAGAATCCGGCTTATCCGCGGTAGAATCGAGACATTCATTCTTAGGGTGAAAATCCAGCGAACAATTAAGGTCATTAGTGGTGCCGAGCCGAGTAAACATTTTTGGAGTACAAACATTGTTCTCGGCAAAATCTCATTTCGAAGTTGCGACCGTGGAGAAACTTCGTTAAACGATTTACAGTAAATAAATGCTAGGTTTCTGAAATGGAATTCATCAAGAGATTTAATCATGAATGATTAATTTCAACAAAATATTTATTGATTCAACAAAATATTTTTTCCGTTCGCTGGGCGAACTTCGTGGTCCAGACAGCGTTAGACCAGTGTCCTTGAGAAAGACCAAGCCTGAGTAAGTAGAGGCAATGACATCTCCCCTCACGAAGATACCATATATTGGATCAACAAAAGTCAATTCAAAAAAATCAATGTTGAACTAGATTCCTAAAGGTGCTCCATCATGTTTTGACATCGACCGACAAAAGGTATTACTTCTATGGGTAAAACCGAAAATTGTAATTACAAGAAACTTTGCAGTAAAAAATATTCAGGGGAATCTTCGAAACTTCTAGAAATTCGACGAAAAGAACATCGCTGTATACAATTTGATCATTTGAGAGTCTAGCCTACCTCTAAAACGTAGTAGTAACAGCAAACAAGACAAAACAAGTGTCATTTAGAAGGTTGTGTGCTTTTATTAAGACGCTGCGCATGGTATGAAATCATACCAAGAGGAAAATTAAACTTCCTCTTGGTGATCGAAACACGTGTCGAGGTGTTGAAATAACGGTTTGGTGTTGGCATAAAAGTCCAGTAATATTCAACACTGTCGATACTTGAATATGATATATATACTCGTACGTTATGGATGTTCATCAAGTATCGGCCAATTACATGACATATACCACGAATGTCAATGATAAAAGAGGCACCTAAAGGAGGTCCATTGACATCGATCGCTGGGCGAACTTCGTGGTCCAGACAGCGTTAGACCAGTGTCCTTGAGAAAGACCAAGCCTGAGTAAGTAGAGGCAATGACATCTCCCCTCACGAAGATACCATATATTGGATCAACAAAAGTCAATTCAAAAAAATCAATGTTGAACTAGATTCCTAAAGGTGCTCCATCGTGTTTTGACATCGACCGACAAAAGGTATTACTTCTATGGGAAAAGAAGGTCTGATTATCTATAGCTTCCAGATTTTGTAGTTCGTTGAGCCAAATAACCTCTTCAATTATTGTTCAAACACAAAAATGCCAAACACTAAATATTTTGATTATGATGAAAGATATTCAAGTTCTCAGCTAAATATTTTCAAAACCATAACAAAAAACAACATAGGGTAGTACGAGTATATTATGTATATGCGAAATGTGGTAAAATCCTCCGGATTATTTTTGATCACATTTTTTTGGGAAAGAAGGTTTTTGGCTTTCTACTGCTCCATCTTTTGATACAGAGAAATATTGAAATCTTCCAAGGAAAGGAAAGAAGTAATCAATTTTAAAAGGAGTAACTGTATACATAGATATGTAGATCATGCATAGAAGTAACTTTCAGACACAAATCTGGAAGTAATAGCCTTCCTGAAACAGCTACTTTCATATAAACATTGAATTACACAAAAGAAAAATTCTTTCGAAACTGAATTATACAGGAAACACTTTTTTTCACTCAGTTTGTATTCCAAACATTCGTGATGGAATTAAATCAGATATCATTCACAAGATTTTTACACAATATACTGAATGAAAGGTAAAAATTTCACTTACATGGAACACTGTCATGATCATTCACTTATTTCATTAAATCCTAACCAGCAGGAATCTTCTTTAATTTGAAAGGGTTATATTTTTAGGAGTGATTTATTTTTGGGAAAAAAGTTTTTGGCTTTCTACTACTCCATCTTGATACCAAATACTAGTTCTCCATGGGACAAGTATAGGTCATATGTCCCTAGTCGGACATAGAATCTACATGTATAGTTGTACAAATACGGATCAAATGACCAGTTGGCCTTATTCGTAAAAGGCAAGCTATATTGATAACAACTACAAAACATGACTGAATATTGATTTTGATGAAGACCCTGGCAAAGCAAGCTTTTCCATCAGACGTGGGTAAAATTATCAAACTTTCTATATTTATCATATGATTAATTGGGCATTACAAAATGTTGGAAACCTAATTCGATAACAAATGGCTCTAATGAAAAGCATCCATTACGGGAGAAAATAAATTTGTCTGTATTAGAACGTGTTTATGAATGCGTGAATGAATGAACCCTTTGGCTATTAATTATGAGGGTTACTGATTAATTGAGTATCTAAATTAGCGGAATACATACAACATGATGAAGGCTGTGTATAAATATCAGTTATTTTGTTTTTATAAAAATTATTGAGTAATTTGCCTGTCATGCAAATGGAAGAGTATTATTTGTATTCTTCACCCAAATTTCTTCGCAGTTTTTATTTCATTTTCGAAATAAATGTTATCCAAACTATGTAGTTGTTTGTTTCGATTTCCTCAGTATAATGACGTTATGATTTATCTTACAGTTTACAATACACATGTGAAAACGTGGCAAAGAATTGAAATGAATAATGTGATATCTTCTCTGTATTCGTTTACAAATATTACAATATTTTCAATGGAAATTCTAAGGATGTACGGGGAAAATGTTTGGTAACATCTCATTTATTCGCATAGGTATTGCAAATCTGAATATAATTTTTCACTAGATCTTTCAAAGGGTTGCTCTTCGCGGGGTTTCACTTCTTGGCTTCACCCCGACCATCCACCTAGCCATCGACCAGACCGTCGACAGTTTGCTCCCGCGCCGTTTGTCTCCGGTGTAGTATACTTGTCTAGTGGCAATTGAACCCAGGTTTGTGTTTAATAAACCCTACAAAATACAAATAAAACGGAGCACAGAGTCAGATGCTACAAAGAAGGCTCAGGATGTGGAGTGTACTCCAGATCACTAAGCCTAAGGATTAAGTGGGGAATGGGAAAAAATACCAGCGTGGTTCAAACAGACTGACTGGTATCTCAATCGCCACAAAATAAATAACCAGGAAAGGAATTTCTTGAAAAAACATAACAATCTGCACTGATAGCAGACAAGCCCTATTAGCCTTGAACAGACAACGTGTTACCTCAGGACTAGTACTAGAGTGCCACCAAAATTTAGCCAAAGCCTCGGTAGATAATAACATTATCCTGAGGTGGGTTGAAGGGCACGACAGGAGTAAAGGTAATCGCATTGCCGACTCTTTAGCCAAGGAAGCGGCTGGACTAAGAATTTTAGGACCCAGGGTCACCTACGGCCTGATGACTTCGACAATTGCGGAACTAGCCAAACGTCACACCCATGCTCAATCCCTAAAGAGATGGGATGAAATCAAAGGATGCAATCTCGTCAGGATCACCCTTGGCTACCCTGGGAAGCTGGCGCCGAAGAGATATCTGGCCATGACCAGGAAAAATCTACGCTCGACAGTAGGATTTCTGACTGGCCACTGTCAACTAAGGAAACACCTCCACAATATGGGGCTAGTGGACACACCTCTATACAGGATGTGTGAACAGGAAGATGAAACTGTCAGGTATGTCCTATGCGAATGTCCGGAGTTATCGTCAATAAAAGAGTGTTCAGCGACCCTTGGCCTACACCTGCCGCTATAAAGGAGATGTCTCTCAGAGACCTGTCCACCTTCCTGAAAAGGACAGGATGGACGATGACCTAGGAGGACAACTCCTTGCAGGATGTTCAAATTATCACATGTGGCCTAAGTGCTATAGGTCTACACTCACCCTCCCTACTCTACAGATACACAAACTTGTCTAGTAGTTACTGCACATGCGGTGATAAAACGAACGTATTATATCTACTGTTATTAGAATATGTTGTACCATCGTTTAAATTTTTGAATACGGATCTGCATTTTTCCAAGTTTTTAATGAGTATTGTTTTAAATTCTTCAGGAAATTTTAAATTGTTAATAACTCAATGACACTTGTTGATGAGTTCACTAACTAAGTCGTAACACATTGCTGCGAACTACCGCTGAAGATGCCCACCGCAGCTATGGGCTAAAAATTCGGAGACAATCTCTTCATTGAAAAACCGTGTAGTAGCCTGGATAACTACACATTCCATTTAGTGGATGTTTCTGGTACTAATTAGATGTGTTAACCTAACGTAACCTCTTTACTTTCTGATTCAAAACTTGAAAAGGGAAACTCCAATAGTTTTTGATACTTTAGTAGGACGATACATGTTCGATCATTCCTAGAAGTGAATGTTCTGATCAGGCCCAATGCCATTTTTTCAAATTCTTTGAAACGCTTTGAATTGATATCAACTATTCTGTCTGTTATACGTTACTAAAACATTTCGTCTTGTATGAAATAATTTTTTTTGTTTCAGTGCATATATGGATGTTATGTTCACTCGGCAATTTTACCAACATTTCATCGAAGATGTTATTGGCTTCTTCAGGTAGTATGTTTATTTTTTCAATGTCTTCCTTATGCATGACTATTTTTGGATTCTTTGGATGTGGCTGAACAATTTCTTTGCTTAATTCTTCTCAAAGCGATTACACAATAAGTGGGAGAAACCATTGAATGGGAGAAATAAAGAAACAATGTAAATTTCATAGGTTCAAGAAACAAATATTCTTATTGTTACTCTACCATGTTCAGCAGCTTCAATTCTTCAATATTTAATAATTTCAATTATTCGATAATTAAAAAAATATCAGCCACATTCAAACAATTTAAAACCCAAAAAAACGCATTCGTAATCGAACACCAGGAAGCGCCGGTTCAACATGTCATAGGTTTCATCAATGGTGTTAGACTGAACAACAAATGTAATATCTTCCCTTAGAAAAACGTCATCTATGGGGTCGACAGAAAACTCAATTCTCGAATAACACAGATAAAGGAGGATCCTGAAGCCTCACTTATCTTTGATATTCAAGGACTGAGTCTTCTGTCGATTCCATAGATGGCGTTTTCGAACTCAGGCTTGTTCTTTAAGGACAGTTGAGTACAACAATATATTTATGTTCAGTCTAGTTCCACTAATGAAACCTTAGGAGGATCTGGTACTGAATTACGAATGCGTTGTTTTTAGTCTCTAGTTTCGTTTCAACTAGTTGCCTTGCAGCTGCAGTGAAAGATGGGGGGCGAAATCTCTTCAGGTGATCATTGTCTGATTACAATAAAAAAATAATTGACGAAATAAAAAATCAAATATTTTTTGTTTTTTTGTTTCATTTTCATTGTTTTTGTCTTCATTTTCAAAGTCATATCCTCTTTTTAAAACTAATACTAATGTTGGTACCGAAATATTTCATAAATTATCGAGAAAGAGGAGTGAATTAATAAAAAAAGAAATAACGGCGAGTAAAAAAATAAATTGAAGGTATTGAAATGCCAAATTTACCCATTTCAAGTAAAAAAATTGTAATTGAGAACATAAGGTCAATCCGTATATCATCATAGAGTTTCAGCTATCATTCCCACTATCGGGAAGTCTCGTATGGAAACCAAATACATGTTTACCAATGGTACATACAGTAAAATATCACATCAATTCAAATTATCTAAAATAACAATTCGTTCAGGCTAATCTCAAGTTACATACATTAAAATGGAATGACACCTATCATAAAACAACTACTCCCTTGCTAATATCACGAAAGGTTTGGATTATATCCGACAGGTGTCAGTGCAGGATTCTTCACTGAAGTTATTTCTGCATATGCTTTTGGCGATACAACTGCCTGAATCGATGTTCAATTATTGGAACACACTTGAAGACCGGTTTCGGGCTGTTTGGCCATTCGTCAGTGCAAGGTTTTGGCCATTCGTCAGTGCAAGGTAGTGCCCATCATCAACATGAAGTCGATAATTTCCCATAATTGAACGAATTGTCTTTTTAGTATGCCCACTAACTTGATGTAAATCTCATCATTTCTACGAAAAAAAAACATGAAATAGTAAAACTGTCGGAAAGCGAGTAGCCGCAAAACTAATTATAATTACAGAGGTCACACACATGTTCTACCTTTCAAGGATAGAATGGTTCAAATAAGTATAAAAGGATGCAAGCCGATACACAAAATTTTCACGGTATATATTTTTTGTAACTAGAAATACTGTTTTCAGTTGTGGGAAATCATCAAACATAGCTTATTACTTGAAATTCCTCGAATACGTGTTTCCAGGACATTAGAAATATTCTTATGAGATATAAAAATATAAATTGCTGCACCTGAATGGACGTTCAGGAAATTTTGAACGAGAAGGTAGAAATGTCTTGAATGTGTCACAGGCGACCCAATTAATAATCGAAGTTGACTTGTGACGAGTTTAAAAAGGTCACCTGATGTGACACCTCTTGATTTCTTCTCTAGGATATATTCAAATTGCTAGAATATTTAAAATACGATATATAGGAAAATATTATAGAAACGAATCAGAAATTAAGTAATATAGGTTCTTATGTGTATCTCAGAAATTATTTTTGATTAATTTTTTTTGTTTTAGAATCCCGACATCGTTTTAGTCCACTATCTGAACGTTCCCTATCCGGATGACAACAAGTTGGCCGTCATAACCCCAAGTCTTGCTCTTTGGGCGGACAAAAAGGAATGGACGAAGGACGAATTAGTTTCCCAACTGAAGCCAATGTTTTTCAGCGAAGATGAACCCGATATCAATAATGAACTGGAAATATCGGTTAGTAGAATATCAAAAGTCGTTAAAGGAAAATGACATGAGGTATTTTCTATGGAAAAATCATATGTTCTTGCTGAGTTGCCACAAGTGAACTATCCTAACTATTAATTCTACATGTTTCAGTCAACATCCATTTCAAAAGAATTATACTCGGTAATATCATTCAAGAGAAAATATTAAGAACTTACCTCTCACAGGAATCATAAATATCCCAGTCTGGAGCAATTATTTAATTGAGCATAAATTACAAACATAACCGTCAGCAGCACACATTCTGCAACCGCACACATCTAAACGAAAGTTAACTTTCCTTGATCATGATTTTACACATGATATATTTATTTTCAGTATTTTCCTGATCACCCTTCTCAATTTTTTCGAAGCGTACTTTGTAAGTATTTTTTTCTTGTACCATACCAATTTTTTTTCACTTTTGATCACTTCAATTTCAGGTTTGTTCTTTCATTTCTCTGAAATTGTTCATCCTTTTTTTACCAATCTTCCTTTTCAAAACATGTATCATCCTTGCATCCGAAAAGCGAAATTTAGTTGAAATATTTTTCGAAAACATCAAGAAGTAATAGAATAACTGTTAAAATCATTGTTGAACAGATCGAAGTCTATATAACTTTAATTTCTGTAATTGGGAGGGAGCAAATGCTCTCCAGGGAATATATATATAAACCGCATACAATTCTTTTTCAAACAGATTTTTCGCTAATTTGAAAATCTTTTCGAAAAAGATGGATTTATTGTAATATAGGTCTCGACTGGAAACGTATATCATCGACAAATATCATACTTGATGAAAATTAATAACAATATCCAAAATATTTGATCTGTCAATAACTGCACCCTCAGACTAAAATTCATTGAATTGATAATTTAATAATGAAATTCCTCATAATTGCCTCCCTCCCCTAAAACACATCCTGAATACGTCACTGACCTCCACAAAATTCCTAGGGAAAATTGTGATGAAAACATCTAACTCTACGGCTGAGAAACTGAACCACAAGTATTATCTCATGAAATAACTCAAAAGTGAATTAGATACAAAATCGTCAACGAAGATGAAGTTTTGATCTTGTATTTTTCATTTTCATTGGATGTTTTCCATTTCGTTATCCAGTCGCGTTTTCTTTAATGAATTTTTAAAAACCCTGATTTTGGTGATATGGTCTTTAAATGTGTTAGTCGGTAACCGGTAGGTTAACGATATCTGCTCATTATGACAGAAGTACAGAGCATATTCTCTGCGTATCGTATTAGGAATCCCATCATGTTGGAAAAAATATATCAATACCTAGCTCCAAAACTTTTCGAATATTGAGGGGTTGTCTTTCGTTGTAGGTAGTACATGCAAAAAAATTCATAAGTAGGTAATTTGTTAGAACAGAATTGTGATTGAAACATCAAAAGAAACTGAATCTTGGAAAGTCATTCACAGCTACTGTCTGTAATATGAAAACTCTTTCAAGATATCTAATACTTGCTTCACCCTAACACAGTAATATGTAGCTCATCAACTGTAAACTTATACAAATTATCCAGATAGATGTCCTCATGGAGATTGTAGTTTGAAATACCTCTGTCAATTTCAAAAACTCAACTAAATTATCGACATCTATAATGTGAGTAGGCTTTCAAATTACAGACGGCAGAAACAGTAGAAGCGATAGTGAGTCAACTAATGGAGAAGCAGCGTGTCGCCAGGCAAGCCGCGTTGGTCAAACAATTGGAATGCGGATGCCCTGACTCTACTTGTGCGGACGGTAAGAGCTGTTCGCACCCTATGAGAAGGATAACCGCAGCAAAAGAGATAGCCAACTCTCCCTTGGCAAGCTCCAGCTCCAACTCGCGACCTCCCAGCAACTCCGACAACAACAATCAGGTTTCCTCAACGACCGGAACTGGATCCATGTTGCTCACCAACAACAACACGCCCAGGGTTTATTCCAGGGACTCAAGAAACCACCAACCACCCCAAAATAACAGTAATTGTTCCTCCAGTTCTGGCAACACTCCGCCGCTTGTTTTGAGTCTCTCACAGATCCAGGGCGGCGGTGGATTACTCATTCTCAACAGTAATTCTAGCAACAATTCTAGTCACCAAAACTTAGGTAATCCCGTATCAGTAGCAAATTTTGTTTGCAACACGAACAGAAGTATTGCTAAAGACAGATCTAGTCATCTCGTACTCAAGCAAGAGGTCATGGATACTAATCCTTCTTCTTGCCTGCATTCATCCAAACAGAATTCCAAATCTGGGCAGAGGGAAATGAAAATGGAACTCAGTGAAAACCACAGGCAATCAATTTTCAATGATGGATCTATGTATGGTAGTTCGACACCGAGGTGAGTTTGGACGTTGCCGTCATACTGTTTATCGCTTGAGTTCGTTCAAAAATTTGGTATGGTTTTACTATATGTCATTTTAATTTTGAAAATATTTTCGTGAGTATTCAATATCAAAAATTCGCTATTGATTATTGGTAAAAACGGCATCAGTTCAAAAATCCATAATGGGATTTTAACTTCATTTCATTCATTCAAAAAAAAAATGTTTTCTTTTAGGTAATTTCAACGAAATAAAGATAAACTATTTAAAATGGACTTCATGCTCGAAGTCAGTTTCGAATTAGTTCTAGAACTTTTATTCTGGATATGATATATTGCTTCAGTATTGTGATTGAACACATATTCAAAATAGCCGCATTGAAATACATTTACTCAAACTGAATCTTTTTTCAGACCTTTGAATTTTGTGAAAGTGTTGAGATTTTCATTCTTAAAATACTAATTCTCATCAGTTGTTACTGATTATGTTCAACATAACACTAAAATATTATTTTATTGGTTTGATAACATTCTAGTTATCATCTTCCTATAGTCTACAAAAATGTACATACAGTGCTTTCATTTATTGTCCCCCCCTTTTATTTTTCGAACGGGTCAACTCAAAAAATTGAAATTTGGGATAATGAATTTAATGCATGAATACTTTATTTTGAAGTGAAATTGACAGCTGAAACTTTCAAGATGGCGACTGGGCGCCATCTTGAAAGGGGATCTTGTGATACATATTTTTGAAGCTCCTGACAAATGCTTCACAACCCTACAATATAACGTCAATATCTTCAACTACTACAAAATGACGGAACTTTTAATAATTGCCTGAATGCATTGACATTTAACTACATAATATGAGGTAATAAGCTTGAGGTCAGTTCAGAAGATGCTCGAAATGGATGCATTGAACTTCTTGACATATGAGCACCCTATCCGATATTTCACGCCGAACATTTTCGTACACAGTAACGTCAATATCTCTAAAAATATTTATTAATCTCTGCTGAATGTGCAATATGCAAGAAGGTTCAGTTTCGTACACCTTTTGCTTCAAACACCCCCATAAAAAAAGTCCAAAGGTGTCAAATCTGGCGAGAGGGCTGACCATTCTGTAGGACCACGACGCCAACCCAACGACCGGGAAAAGTAGTATCCAAAAAGTTTCTTACTTGTATGGAGTAATGTGGTAGTGCTCCATCTTATTGGATTACAATATCCATATAGAATTCATTAGGATTCGCTTCGACGATTTCAGTGATGAGAGGGTCAACAGTAGTTTCCAGCATATTCAAATACAGTTCCTCTGTATTTGAATAAACGTTATTTTTTCTTGATATTGGGTATGTGTTTCCCGGAAAACGTGAAGGTTGGTGACACTCCAAGAACGGCAATTTTGTCTGTGAACATTGTCGTTTGAAAAAATGTAAATTCGTCACTAAAACAAATATTGTGGAGATAGGTAGGATGCCTTGCAATGGTTTCCGTCATGATTTCGCAGAATTCTGTTCTTCGATCAAGGTCATCTTCAGTTTACTGGTGTACCATTTTAATTTTGTATTGATGATACCTATTATTCCTGTTCAAAAGTCTCCACACAGTAGAAGAAGACACCTCACAAACATTCGCGACGAAATAAGTACTATTCAGGATTTACTATCATCTCACCAATTATTTGCACTTTCTGTTCTTCCGGAATGGACGGATGACCTGGGGACTTTTTGTTATGTACACTACCAGTAGTTGTGAATTTGGATACAAGTTCCCTCAAATATTTTTTACAGATTTGGAAAACTTTCTTTGAAAATCCTTCAGGTCTCGTAAAAGTTAAGTACGTGTCGCACCGTAAATAAAAATCGCTTTAAATTTTTTCTTCCATTGGACGAAAATTGACCATTTTAGGGTTTTTTGACTTGGTACTTTTCTACTGGTAAATCCAAAAATTAATGAGAATATTATAACTGAACAATGATGTTCATTGTCGTACTGACATTTTTATTAACAAAAAATAACTAAACAAACCTTATCGGGTTTTTGAAATTGCCATATGGCAGATGAAAAAGAATATTTCTAGAAATATCGATATTAATGTGTTTGTCTTCAGGAAATTATCAAATGTTCCGCCATTTTGTAGTAGGTGAAGATATTGACTTCATATTCTAGGGTTGTGAAGTATTCATCAGGAGCTTCAAAATGATGTGTCACAAGACCCCCTTTTCATTAAATTTTTTTTGCAGATGGCGCCCAGTCGCCATCTTGACAGTTTCATCTCTCAATTTCACTTATAAGTAAAGTATTCATGCATTAATTTCATCATCCCAAATTTCCATTTTTTGAGCTGATCCGTTCAAAAAATAAAAGGGGGGGGACATTAAAGAAATGCACTGTACATTCTTATCAAGTAGCCATCCTCCCTTTATAATTGGCAAATAAAAAAACAGCAGTATCCAAGAGTAGACCTACACTCCGCACTGACACATAAAAATTGCACTAAATATATTGAGACACGACACAATTTGATGGACTATCCATGAAATATGTACTGTTACCAGAATAGCCTACATTTACATGGGATGGTTCGAAAGTTCAAAAGGGTCTCGTATCTGGTTGAGATATGTCAATGACACATTCATTATGAGAAATTATCACAAAACCACTTGAAATTTTACATTACTTCAAGTACAACAAACCTTTCATAAAATTCACAGTAGAGAAGAAATCCCAAATTGAATTATCGTTACTATAGTCCTAAAAATGCAAAAGACCAACAAGTGGGAAACTTCCCTCCATAGAGAACCGATTCTCTGAAATATGAACATCGAAATCTTCAAAACACTTCCAGTCTCAGCAAAACCAAAAAGCCAGTAGAATAAATATTGGAAAGAAGAAAACAACGAGGAGGAACCATTAAGACTGGAGGTCTTTGTCCCTTGCTTCAAACAAATTATTGGAGATAATCAGAAGAACAGTATCTAATTACAATTATTAGAATCTGCTTTAGATCCGAATGCAAAACCTCTGAAAAGTAAATCCTAGAATTACACCTACTGAATACAATGTGACTGTGATTCGATGAAAAAATACTCAACGATTAGAAACCAGTGAATTAGGTAAATGTCTGAATTTGCCAACGTAATAGCAAGTAAATTATATTTTTCATGTATTCTCTCTTGGGAGTCAAATACTGTAATATTTCTAGAACTCTAACTCTCAGCTAGACATATTGTCAACTAGAATTGAAGGAATGTTCTTCATTTCAATTATGTTCACCTTTTAAAATTGCTTTATAACGTTATATCAGTTTATTATATCAGTTTAACACTTTATTGTAAAATCGTTTGGGAAAGCAGATACTTTTGCTATTCACTCTCTTTTTATTAGTGGATGGATGTTTTATTAGATAGAGTATTTTCCAATATATTGTCTATTATTTTTTTTTACTTGTTACTTTTTTACCCATTGGATCCGTGTACTAATAATTCTGTCATAGGTTTAAATGATAGGTAGGTACTTCTTCACCAAAAAAAAGCATTATTTTATAAAAAAGACGATATTCGAAAATTGGTGATAATAATAACTGAATTCTTCATCAAAATTGAAGTTTATCCTCTAAGGACCGAAGAACTATATTATTTTGTCAGTGACAAAATGACAGCTTAATGAATAGGAAATGAAAGTATTCCACCTGAGGTTTTTGAAAGATTTTTTTATGTGAAAATATTGAATGGCTTTTCATGATTTCATTGAGGTCTTTCATCAATCGAAGTACCTAATGAGAATGATATTATAAAGCTAAATAATTTTTTATACAATATGTTTATGAAATATTTCAATTAAATTTTTATATGAGACGTTACGACAATTTTGACCGTAACTGTAACTGAATATCATACTAAATATTAATAAAGAAGATTCGATATGGCTCTCTAAATTTCATACCCAAATAAACTATTTGTATATTCCAAAGTTCTAATTTTTCATGTAGATAACACACGATTCCATAAAAAATAACAAGATAATACCCAATTTTAGAACAGACCGTAGAACATTTGGCAAACCTCAATTCTTCGATTAGATACAGGAACACATGATTGATTATCCTTTTCATCAATTCCAGACCGAGATTTTTTTACAGAAATCATCAACAACAAACTGAGGTGATAATGTCCAGTGCTCCGTCGACCCCTTCGAAGCACATGGACACCAGCCAAGAAGAAACCATCGACGACTATAAACATCAAAACTTTTGCGGCGAAACGGTAGTTCTTCTAGGAACGGATTCCAGCGGCTCGTTAGTCAGCAAAAGTGACGGTTCTTCCATTATAAACGGAGGGTTCTTTAACGAAACCTTGGACTTGTCCCAAGAGGACATTCAAAGGACCCTTTCTGCCAATATGCCCCTGTGTTCATCCGAACTAGATACTCATCAACGACATAATTCCGAATCAAACAATGCCGGTCATCAGAACAAGGTGCAGTCCCAACAGCAAAATCTTACCACCGAGATCAATCCAATGGATTTCATTGACAGTTGCGACGTGGTAGTTTCACCGACCAACGTGGTCGACGATGATGTTTTCGTCAATTTAGATGCGTTCGATATGCTTGGCGAATTTCCAGACCTAGAAGCGTTAGATTCCAGCCACGCTGGACTTCTCGACGTCAATCCGTCCGAAGGTAGAGGTAACACCAAAGCACACAATGAACACCAGCAGCAAAACCATTCCTTGGAGGGGTCGGCGAAGATCACCGACTATTCTCCAGAATGGGCGTATCCAGAAGGAGGCGTGAAAGTTTTGGTTACTGGACCGTGGCATTCATCTGGACCTTACACAGTACTTTTTGATACATTCCCTGTACCCACTACTTTAGTACAAAGTGGTGTCTTACGTTGTTATTGTCCAGGTAAGTTGATTTTGATTGTGTTTATAGGTGAATATTTTGTAAACGAAGATATCTATTCAGAAATTTGAGTAAAAAATAGGTTGCATCTTATAATTAATTCAATCTCAAGTTTACTGAAAGGTAGAACTTATTCCTTTGGTGTAGAATGAATCCAAAAAATCACTCTTTATAATAATAAAAATACGTCTTTATTCACCATAAAAGTACAATTAAAATAAACAAAAAGAATAAAAAGAAAACAACTTTCTGTATAAAGGTAAATATAGGCGGAGTATCAGCCAAGGCTGTTTTTAAACTCAACCTGGAAATAGCAATAGTTAAACAATAACAAGAAAGTCGAGTTAACAGTGATACTGACACGAAAAATCAAAAAATGTATGCAACCGTTGTAGGAAATTCCTCTTTGTAATGCCAAGGTCGGGAACGAACAAAAGATCAGACATTTAAATAGGTCTTCAGTCTTTGTAGGAAATTCCTCTTTGTAATGCCAAGGTCGGGAACGGACAAAAGATCAGACATTTAAATAGGTCTCCAGTCTTTTTTTAAAAGTTTTTTATTGTATAAGATGTAAACTCTCACGGTGTAGTTGATTGTAACTGACTAAAACTGAACTATTTCTTGTGGTGAAACTATTTATTATTAAGAAAGTTCTAAGGCTCTTCATTACCTAATCAGGTTGACGAAATATCATAACTTTATGAGAGTTGATAAGTAGATGCAGTGTTTTAAGCTTCTCAACAAGTTTCGACTCCAGTAGATTGCAGAACATTTCATATTTCTTGTGAAAAAATTCTTCCGAATGTCTAAAAATACTTATGACTATTAGTAATTGTACCCACCGTTAATGATCATATTTGACTAGAAGGTATCTAAAATGTTTTAGAAATTGACAGAATCAACAAATTTCCTCAAGTAGTTTGATAGAGATTATTATTATCATACCAGGATATTTATTTCAATAACAATCGTTATACTCTTGTTGCAGCTCACGAGGCTGGATTAGCAACTTTGCAAGTAGCATGCGATGGCTATGTGATTTCCAACTCTGTGATATTTGAGTATAAGCTCCCACCTAGAGAAGAGCATGTGGCTACCCAAGAACCTAAAGTAGAAAGATGCAACGACAATTTACTTAAGTTCACTTTGCTTCAAAGACTCGAAGCAATGGACGATAGACTTCAAATCAAACAAGAGCCAACAGATGGCGATGTGGTAATATATTTTTTTTATTTGTTCTGTTATTTGATCATTCACAAAGTATTTTGTTTCTATAAGGTTGAAGACACGGCTCTTTTTGGACAACCGAATTTTGAAGACAGGCTAGTTAACTTTTGTCAAAATATGACTTCTCGAATATGGAGACAAGGAGAAGAATTGAGTGTCTCTTGGTTTGCTAGCCATAGGGGAATGACACTCTTACATCTTGCGGCTTCCTTGGGATACTCACGTTTAGTGTGTGCCATGCTTCACTGGAGGGCGGAAAATTCTTCGTTACTATTAGAAACTGAAGTAGATGCTCTCAGTCAGGACGAAGATGGATTCACGGCATTGGTAAGTATACAACAAGTTAATGAGGTTTGGATTACAGGGTATTCGATAGCCCAAGCTGCGAAAAAAAACCGAAATAATAAATAATAAATAAACTTGATATTGATGACAATAAATTAGATATAATTTACATTCAAATATTTTTTCAAGATGTGGGCATGCGCTAGAGGACACACAGAAACAGCAGTGATGCTTTACAAATGGAACCACATGGCTTTGAGTATGAGGAATTCAACGAATCAAACGGCGTTAGAATGTGCTCGAATAAATAATCATGTGGATCTAGTGAAGGAACTGGAAAAACTGGAATTACGAAGGGATAAAGCAAACATGCTTTTACAATCTAGTCAGTCTTCCACAGATGCAGCTCCTTCCCCGAATGTTATATCACCTGCAAGTTCTGTAGCTTCTCTAAATTCCATAGCTTCAACTAGTAAATCCCATGATGGAGTCTTCTTGAGACCAGGGGCTGTCACAAGGTCAGAGAAATTCAAATATTTTATATTTTTGAAACAAACTAAAGAACTTTATTTCAGGAGTGAAGCAAGTAAATACAAAATACTGAATGTAGATTTAGATTCCGACTACAATAATAAATTTATCATGTCTTCTCCAAGTCCTTTGTTATCTGATTTCTCATCAAGTACCAGAGGTAGTAATGGGCAGAAATTGATCAAAAGACCATCAATTGATAGTGGAATTCACATGTCCTGTGGACCTGCTGCAGAGAGTTACAGGCCTAAGAGTTCCAAAGTATACAATGTTCGGGAAACACCAAAGTTGTCTAAGTAAGACCAATACATATATTCTTTGAAAGTTATTATTAGTAGCAATCATATTGCCGATAATTTACTTGCAAAATATAAGTGTAAGATCTTATAATTTCCAAAAATGAAAAATTCTAAAACATGTTTTGAAAAATATCAAAGGAAAACTTTTCTGAAATAAACTAAATTTCAATAAGTATTGTTGACAAAAATATGTACTTATATTTAGTGCTCGGATCGATTCTAAGGAACATTAAGTTTTTTTATATACCCAACATACTACAGAAATGTCATTTAGGTATTGTAATGGCTGTCAATGTGTCCGCAAAACGTTACTTATTCCTATTTCTAGGAAAATATAAACTAGTGAGAATTATTGGAGTCTTGACATGAAACTTCGATATGTTGAAAGTACTCAAAGGTTTGGAATTTATTTTTTTAAATTCCTACTCACATTCCCTCACATTTTTTGGACCCTTAGGTTTTTTCCGTTTCTGATGTAATTCAAATCTTGACTACCCTTTTTTTGATATAAATTATCGATGTTTCAACCTGTCAAATGGAATTTTATGATTTTTTATATTCTTTTTCCATCATTGATGAGATAATCCTTATGAGGTATAAAGTACTATTTTAGGAGTATGTTACCTCTCGCGTGTTATATCAGTTCTTTCAGTCTTGCCATTTTCAGCAAGTTTAGAATATAGCATTCTGTGAATATGTGTGTTATGTGTTATTTTTTCCAAAAATTGTTTATTCAATTTCCAGCTTTTACTGGAAGTTACTGCTCCTATAAATATTTTTTCACTAATATACCTAGATAGCACTGCATGGCTGAATCTAATGTATCGCCAGGTATTGCTGACTTACAAATGCCCTCATATGGGGAGTTTGCTGCAGTCATTTAGGTGAGAACCTTGCACCTTGAATATCTGGCAACCTTAATAATCACTGATCAATAGGAATCTCTTCAATGTGCCATTACGTCTTCTATAGAGGAGATTTCACAAGTTCATTCCGGTTTGGGTGGCTACAAGTCACCTGAGAGGATTAAAAGAGCGTCTCCTGGCTGGTTGACGCAGTAGTATCCTGCAGCCATGGGTGGGTAGTTCCTGAAATGAGCCATGGGAAACCTACTTCTCAAGCCACACGTTCATGTTGCCTACCTGTCTGATGAAAGTAGTGACAGACTAACTGCTTAACAGATCCTCACTAGATTGAAGAAAATGTACCAAGGTCTGTCAACCTTGGAGTGGATTGATCTCCACAAGGAAGTTCAGGCTCTGGCAGAATATATAGGTACTCTATGTGTGCCCCACGTTGGGGCGGATCAAGTTTTCAGTGTTTGGCAGAATCTCACTTGCTAAACAAAGTAATCGTCGTCGTTAAGGAGTTGGATTTATTTGGACATATCCCTATCTAACACCAACAATTGCTTCTCCTTACTTCAAAATTTCAGAGGTCCTCTTGATAAATACAACTATGGTCGATTTAGATACCCTAATGTTCAGTAATTCTCCCTACTATATTATTATTATTATATTTTCTCTGGACTAGGACGACATCTGAATAACACAGTACTTCATATCGTTTGTATTCCAGAAGACATTGTAGCTTGTCCATTACAAGATTTCTCAATCCTGGAAATAATTCTATGATGGGCCTATCCTTTGAGGATAGCCTAAGTCTACAACTGAGTGTGAAGTCGATTGGCTCAGATTCAGAATTGAAAATGTTCAAATAGTTGTGATTAATTAACACCTTCACGATTCATTCAATTCTTCTAGCTTTTTCCTGTCATGAAGAACTAGGTTTCAGGTTTTTTCAAATAGTACGGAAAAAATGATGATGAAAAATCCAAGATCCTATAATAGTTGTGGCGCAGAAATGACAGTAATTCGTGAAAATCTACTCCTTTTGGTTATGCATCTCTGTGTATAGTTATGATGCAGAAATTACAGTGATTGGTGGAAATCTACTTCTTCTGGTTATGCATCTCTATGTATTTCAAAGATAAATTGATAAAAATAAAACATAATAAATTGAAACCGTCTATCAGTCAGCTGTATGAAACACAAACTATAATGAATTTACATTTCGATCACTAATAAAACAACTAAATTTGATTTATTCCACGATCGGACTGTAATGAATTGTTTACTTACTTTTTCTCTTGCTAGGTTCGACCGAAGTATGTCGCTACCACTTCAGTCATCCATAGTAAGGGATAGTTCTACTGACGGCGATGGTACAGACTTCCACAGGAAAATGGATTTCGCACTATGTGAGTAAATTTACCTAAACACCTATGTCATTTTGATGGGTAAGTAAAGTTAAGTATCAGAAATGCACGAACGGAATCTTGGTTCATTGACACACCAAGTTTTTAATTTTCGCTTTGAATCGCCAATATTATTTTTGATTCCAATTCAAATATTATTTTTGACATGTTGATTAAGGTGTAAATGAGTGTGAGTCATTTAATAATTAGGTATTACATTCGAGAGTACACACTACTTACTGTAATAAAATCGTGATAATTGAAGCTGATTTGCATTGACTGATTTGTATTTTGGAACAATGATCTAGGCGAGATAGGAAGTGGCCCAAGAAGCAGTAGTCCCCTGATAGATGTAGAAGCCGTCTCGGACGATGAAAGTGAGCTTCCCAACAGTACTGTAGGTCAGTGCACTAATTGATCTGTTATCTTTGTTGTCTCTCGGTGTTGTTTCACTGTTGTTTACAGACTACCTGATCTTTGTTGCTCCTTCTATGTTGATTATTTTACATTCATTGACCATTAACAGCAATATATGTAACATTCTGATAAATCACCTGATTTTTATCAAGTTTTCACATATGTTTCATAACAAAGTGACTAATAAATACCACAAATAAATCAGATTATTACATTAAAACAATGAGAAGAAATGAGTTAGAGGTCGAAATCGTTTGCTATAGACATCTAACAATAATTCTCAAATAGGTATGAGTATAAAATAGAAATAACTAGTACAGTATGTTGTACTACAAATTTCTTATATTCTAACAGTGTTAGGCAGTGTTGAGGTCTAGTTCTTTGTAGATTCCACTGATAGATTCAACAAGTAGTGTATGTATAACTAATGTATAACTTTTCGTTTCAAGTTATGGTTCACCAACTTTTCTTAAAAAAAATAAACATAGAATAAAATTGAATATTTTCTTTATGACAAGTATTAATACAAATATTTCTTCATTGTGAAAATTATATTTCTGGAAGATAATCTTCAATTAAAAATATTTTGCTATAGTTACATTTGAAACTTTTGTTTGGGATTCAATGAAAAAATTTGGGCATGCTGTAAGCATAGTGTAATATTATTTTCAATTCAATTTTTCCTTTTATGGCGATCATCCCAACCCTCTACTCATTTCATTCTTCTACCTTCCATAAATACTAACAAATAGTGTTTAAAGAGTTCTTACTATAATAGTTATAGTTCTTGCACCACCTAACTATCTCTGATTTTCCAAGTTTTCTAGATTTTTGGTAACGTTGAAGGAATTTAAATTGAAGAAATGATCCAAATAAGTAACTGAATGTTTCTTTACACTCTTCATCTGTTTCTTGAAATAACAGAATGGATAAATCTTTGATTATTGCTTCTGCTGTGTATGTGCCTTTTACGCTTATTATTATTTTGGTTCTCAATACCTGGCTCAAAAGAATGTTAGTATGTATCTACATTTTGACCTTTGTCAGTGTTCACTCAGAGTTTCTTTCGCTTTCTTATGCATGTGGACGATAGTATCTCTATTAAATATTATTTGTTATAAACTTATATGAACATGTGATGATTCATGCAAGAAACTCAAATAATATTATTTTTTTAGGGGAACAAGATGCACGAGTATTGACATTGGCAGAACAAATTATTGCTGCCATGCCAGATAGAATAAAGGTTAGAAGAATATCTTAAATTTAAACGTCATATCTTTAACGTCAGAAATAATAAATAATTTTTAAGTGTTACTATAAACCACACACTGGGTTCCAATTTTATTTATGTTGAAATCTGTATTGTCTCATGTTATAATTTCCATTAGGTAATTAATAGAGGGTGATAAAAAGTAAAACTGGAACCTCTGGCGTAGAATGAATCCAAAACAAGCACTTTTCTCAAACACCAGAAATGCAATACTCCTCTTGACGCTCGTTTTACCAACTAGGTTGGCGTCTTCAGTAGATGAAGACAGTTTTCTTCAGCTTGCTTTGGATTCAAACAAGTTACTCGGAAATTTTCGTTTATTTCATAACATTACATTTACAGAATGAAAGTGAAGAGATGATGCTAGACAAAAGCCCTGGTGTTCCAACTAGTTTACAAACCAGTGATACACTATCAGATATATTTATGGAACCGTTGTTAGACCATCAATCATCTTCCAGCTTTGAATCAACAGAATTCAATTTTGAATTCTCTGATAATAATTATAGGTTGGTATCTTTGGAACGAACAGTTTTTATTGAAAGTGAATGTGTTATGATTCACAGATACTATGATGTTGGTACACCTTGTTCGAGTTTGAGCCCAGCTTCTTCCAGTTGTTTACCATCTCCCTGTTCTTTCACGTTGGACTCTCCATCACCACCACCTACCACCGCAGATTTCTGTGAATTTTTTCAAGCTTCCGGAACTGTTTTCGAGAAGGATTTTTCAAATCTAACGTTATCAGGTGAATATTGGAATATTAATTTTTTATTATTTTAAAGTATCTGCATCACTATATCTGTATCACTAGACCCACCATCATTCATCTTTTTTTTTATAGATCGAGAACAGAGAGAACTGTACGAAGCAGCAAAAATCATCCAGAAAGCCTATCGCTCATACAAGGGACGTCAACAGCAAGAGCAGGACAAAGAACGAGCAGCAGCTGTAGTAATTCAGAACTATTACAGAAGATACAAGCAGTATGCCTATTATAAACAGATGACCCATGCTGCAATGGTCATACAGAATGGATATAGGTCATATTGTGAACACAAAAGGTTTAAGAAAAGCCAAGAGGCTGCAGTGTGCATTCAAAATTATTACCGTAACTACAAGGAGCAGGGGGGGAGAAGTAGCAGAGAGGGGACCCCTGCCTCGGCGGGTCTCAAGTAAGTTAAAGGGATTTGTGAATGTGTAGAGCTGTATGTGGTAGGCAATTGATGTTGCTTCATTGTTTGTACTAATCTTCTCACAATTGCTTCTAATACCAATTGCTGGGCTAAAGGTGATAATATAACTATCAACTAACCTTATCCTTGACGTACAATTTCATCAACTGAGTTATTAAATTTAAGGGAAAATAATTTCGGAAACTATGAAGAAATGGAAAAAATTCATTAATATTTCGAAATTACATGTCAGCTGAAAATATTAGTATGTAGAAATTTCAAAAATAAATATGAAAGAAGTCCCCAAAGATCTATACTTGGTTATGGTTTCTTCCTCACTTCCATATCAAATCCATGACATAATTAAAATTTTAAAGAAAACTTCAATTAACCTTGGATGAAACAAAACAAATATATATTGTTTTACAACCTGACTAAAGTTATGATGATGATGATGAGATATCTGTCATCATTGGGAGAAAGCATGATGTGGTCAACTCGAAACATGTGTAAAGTTTGAAGTGATTATGAGCAACCATCGAATAGACCAACCACATAGATCACAATTAAGTGTGAACATCAGTAGATAGATATATAATTTATTGTTTCTTAAAACTTCACAATTCTCCAACAAAGGTTTGATTACTGATACATATTGAGGTAAAAATAGCACACAAAAGTACGTGCAAAGATAAAAGGGAATAAAAGGGAGTGTATCAGGAGTGGTTGCATAAGTATTCGAAAAGGACAAATGTTCTCTATTTCACGATAATATGCACATGTTCATAGATGGATTCTGCTGTAATAAATGTTATGTTATTTAAGATATCAACAAAGTTTCCTTCATTTGATAGATATTTGATCTTCACGGCCGAGTCAATAAAAAAAGTATACTCTATAAGCGGTGCCTGTGCGAAAGTAGTGCTTCAAGTTGGATTTGAATTGCTGAAGATTAAATTCATTTGGGAAAACGTTCTCAGTTTCAAGTTTTTCAATTGACGAATCTGATCTGACTTATTTTTTTTAGAATTCAGAAATAAATTTCAATATACAGGGTTAGTTACACAGCCAGTAATATTTCTGACAGGTCCTACGTGGTCCTTTCCGTTTGAAAGAAATGTGGAAATTAACCCATTCCAAAAGCCAACTCTGCACCTCAAAATGGAACGACAACCAAAATAAGAAAGTACAAAAACAGTCTACCAACAACAACTCGGAAATTAAGAATACTTTAAAGAAAATTAAGTTACACTGCCTTTCGAGAAGCGATCAGTAAATGCTTCCAAGCCCTACTGCTCATACTTCAGAATGGTTTCTGAGATTAATAATACTTTATTACTTCAAATAAACTCTCGATATGTATTTACTTTTTTGTATAGCTCAATATAGTATTGGGGTATTATGCATTATGGGTGGGTTACCTAACGCGTTACAGCGCCAGTGTGTCTGGCTTCCCTTTTTCTCATACATACATCAGAGAAAGGCAGGCTTCTCCTCTCTCGTCGAACAGACGCTCAGTGTTTAGTGTGTGATAGACATATACTGTCGACTGTATTATAAAAATCTAACCAGCAAGCGTGTAATATCATTTTATTATATGAAACGTGGTTTAATAATGATGATACTAATTTTGTGTATGTTACATTATTAGTAACATTATTTAATTCCACAAAAGCAACAATTGGCTCATGGTAGCTATAATATATGTATATACACAAAATAATCAATAAAATATTTTATTAATAAATAACCATTCATTACATTATCATATTAATATACATAAAGTTTGGGTAATAACCCAAGCTTTTCTCAAGTTGAACAATTTCAATATCGAATAGTTCAACATGGATTAGTTTAAGTTATCACTTCTGTCGGGCGTCCCGAGACGCACACGTTTTTTTATCACGTGAAATGGATTTACTGAATCTATATAATATTTTCAAACCTCAAAAGAATCACTCGTTTAATACTGTTGTCAAAATAAACCTGTTTTCTCCTCACATCTACCCTGCTCGATGTAGATAAGTGTCATAGTTTTGATTGCACATACAATCTAATCTTTTTCTTTCCAATTCAACTACATTTGATGTACCTATATAAATATGAGAATTAACTGTAGATGGATTGGCACTGCTGAATTAATGAATTTCTATAGTATTTAATATCATCTCTAGGCGAACCTATTCACAACGTCGTCAACATCAAGCAGCCCGGAAAATTCAACAATTCATGAGGCAGTCCAAAAATAAGTAAGTAAAGTGTTTTCTTTAGTTCATTTTTAAAGGTCACATATCTCGTCCTGAGGACATTCAATATAACTAGTACCACATTTTGTCTCTTTAATTGACCATATTCATGTAAAAATGGATATACATGTTTCAGACGTTTCATTATTGGCGACATTTATATTGTACATCCAATATTGAGAAGAGGGGGTGTAATTACTGTTATTGTAATTGAATAATTTAAATTTGGCTGGATTTGATGAAATAATTCATTTAGTGTATTTTTGAGTTGAATTTCAATAATTGTATTAAATTATTAGTTGTGCACACTCACAATGCAAACCATGAAATATTTTTGGAGATTTGTGTAAGGATATGTTTGCTGATAGTTCAGAAAGAATTTCAACTTGAACTATCTCTCAAACGATTTCTTCTGCCTTGAAATAAAACATTCTGAATATACAGGGTGTATCTTCAATGATGTCATTAATTTCATGTGGCGATTACTTGGCATATTTTATAAAAAAAAGTTCATGTGAACTAACAATTGTTTTTGCCGATTTTGAATAAACTACGTGTGTTTTTTATAAGTAACAAAGGGTTTCTTTTCATGAAATTAGATTTGGAATTTCAATTCCAGTGGCGTCGTAGAAAGTTCCTTGATTGATATAGTTTGATATTTTTTGAAATCTTTGATGGAATTGGCCAATACTTGATGAAAATCCATAACTAAGGTATTCAAAAAACACTTTATTGTGAGATTTTCACTAAACAATAAAGTGTTTTTTGAATACGTTATTAATTGAAATGGCAAAATTTTATCGTATCAGAGTCAGTGACTTAGAAATGGTGATTATGCATAATTTAAGTTCAAATGTGTTTTGGTGATACTTTACAATGGATGTCGCTAAAAATCGACTTTTTAAGTCAAGTTATGTTCAGATCATTTCAGTGACTTCATTGTCTTCAGTCACATGATTCTGTTTAAAATCTGTCTGTTTTTCCGTTAACCAACTGTCGCCTCCCTATGTTAAAAGTCAAAACTTGTGCAAGCTACCCAACTAGAGAAAAACATTCTTTCCATCTCCCCAATTGATGAACGTTGAATGCAATGAAGTTTTTATTTTTGATTAGTTCAATTGAGATTAAAGAGTCGAGTATCATAAATGAGTTCAAATAAAAAAGCAACAAACATGTTCAGTCCGTTCACCTAGTATTTATCAAAATTCAACTTTATATTCTGGAACTTATTCTATATATTCGTACATTCAAGTATTTGTTTCTTATAATGTCTATTTTGAATATTCTGATCCATTACTTTACAATACTATTTCGAAAAAATTGTATTCAAGTTATCTTTTGCATACCGAATGAAATTTATTGTAAAAATTTTATCATTATGATTTTAATCATGAAAAGTACAATGTGCGTATTTTTTTTCCCCGTAGTGTGCGCTGGTCAGGCCCTATTCCCCGAAGCCCCGATACATTCGTGAGGGCGCGCCAGCATAATCAACCAATGACCACTCCCCACACCGTGGGGTAAGTGATCATTGGGTCCGAGAATCATGTGCCCTGAGCAAACGCAGTGAGCCAAGAATGATAGCCTTCTGCATCTGTGCGGCTAAGATTTCTGCCTTAGTGCGGCAAGCCGGTATGATTTTGAGATTCGAGAGTAGAGAAGACATCATTCCACCAAGGACTCCAATAATCAGAACAACCATCTTGACAGAGTGATCTGGATAGAGTCTGCGGAGTTCGAAGAGAAAATCTCGATATTTCATCCGTTTTTCCTCCTCTTTTCTGACGATATTCGTCTCGCCAGGAGCTGAAAACTCCACGACAAATATCGTTTTGGTCTGGTCGAGAAGGACTACATCAGGCTTATTAGCTTGTATGAGCCTGAGGGTGGGGAACGAATAGTTCCAATAAATTCGGCACTTCTCGTTCCCCACAACGGATTCAATATCCCCCGGAGCGTAGGGCAACACCGGTGTCTCGTCAATACCGTAAGAGTGCCGTAGATGGTAATATAGCACTCTTAGGGCCGCGTTATGTCGATGGATATAGGCCGAGACCGCATATGCTGGACATGCTGATAGCAAGTGCATTAGGGTCTCGGGCGCCTCGCGGCAGGCCCTGCACCTTGTGTCAGGAACCTCTATACCCATCACGCGACTGAGGTAGAGTAAGGTGTTGAAGACACCATCCTGGCAAGCTATGATGAACCCCTCAGTTTCCGACTTCAGCCCACTCGACCTGAGAAACCCGAACGTCAGGCGCTTTGATAAGCCAAGGTCTTCAATGTTATTGAAGAAGACCCCATGCATTGGCTTATTTATGTGTCTCCGCAGAAGTAAGGTGATCTCTGCGGCTTTTATCTGAGCTTTTTGCTGAACGGGTTCCAACTCGGTGACAGAGTTGTAGTCACCTAGTTCAGAGTCGAAAACTATACCTACCGAGTTCATCAGCTGCTCGAGCAGCTGCCCTAAGGAGAAATGCTCCAATTCCTGCTCTCTCATGGTCACGGACCATGCAGAGAAGGGGATCCGAACTCCTGACGGCTTTACAGGCTGTATCCAGTACCATTCTGTCATGTAGACACTCCAAACTCAAAAGTCCACGAACTCCCTGTTGTCGGGGGAAGTACAACCGTGGAACGGACGATTTGGGATGCAAACTCCTATAGAGATGCATCATTTTTCGGGTCCTTACGTCGAGTTGATACAGCTCCTCCCGTGTGTATTATTATTATTATTATTATTGTATATATAAGATTGTATCCAGCTGAAGTGAAGATTATTAATAATTATAAAAATCAGTTTTGCCAATCATGAAATGTCTGAAACTGATTTTTACGTGAATATGGAAAAAGTGAGAGAGACAGATTAGTATATTTTCATTTTCCATATTTATCATGTTGAAAACTGAAACTTAAGTGGTATATGAGAACAATATAAATCACTTCAAAATATTTGTCACTCAAATTATGATATTTCTAATGCAAACGTAGTATTTGGGATGATCCAATGGGAAGCCCAATGCCTTTGGTAAGTTTCACTAATTTAAGTAGGAACTTGAGATATAACCAAATTCCTTTTCTCTTACACTAGAACTGTGAAAATACTCTTCTTGACGCACATTTCACCATGCAAACTGGCATCATTCATTAGAAGATAATTTCCCTCGCGGTTCTGATTAAAAAAAAAGTAATTTTGTTGGATTTCATTCTGCACTAAAGTCTATAGTTATGTCTTTCAAACTTATGAAAATAATATTTTTGCCGTATCACTAAGTACTCTTTTACTATCATTAAACAAATTAGTTGGTATAAAGTACAGATTTGATGATGATGATGATGATTACATTTGAGAAGGAAAACGAGTTGCTCCCAAACAAAATTCAATACTAGTTGTAGTAAAATTAATGTGTTGAACAATTATTACACTTACCGTCGACAGAACTAGTTGTACATGGTATCTTTTCCTTCAAGAAGTCCGTCAAACCTCCTTTTTCTAATGTTAACTTTTCAGAGACAGAATTCATCTGAACAGAAGTAAATTATTCCCTTTCTTAATACAGAATAATTGTAACAGTTCGAGTTGTTAATCAATTGTCCTCATTGCCCATAAGGCAAAACTGGATTAAGAAACTATTATCAAAAAATCTTCCTATATTTATTCTATAATTTTTCAGATTACAGAGAGAACGAGCAGAAAAAGAGAGGCAGGGGGGCCAGTCAGTGGATGCCCATCAAAGGTTACAGTTTCCAGGGGGCTCTTCCAATTGCATAGGCCCAAATAGCAGGTAACAGCGATACAAGTACTAATTGAATTAGATGGCATCATTCAGATAAAACTGAAACTTCAATTATAACAAATATATTGCAATCCAAGATTTGATAAACTCAAAAATAAATGTACCAAACAACTTCGAAATGGTATGAAATGGAAATTAATGGTATCAAATCATATGAAAAAATTGCCTATTGATGATTTCATTGAAAAAAAAAACAATGATGACGAGTCTACCCTTTGGTTACCATGAAAATGGTTTATCCACTGTGAAATTCAACCAGTAAGTCCACTTCCACCACTTCCATTCATAAATTCACAAAGTTCTTGGTGACCTCGAAACGAAGTGCGGAGCCAATTTCGTTCTTTTGCCATAGGCGTGCGCTCATATAAAAATGAAATTTAACGATATTATAGAAGATATTGTGGTAAGTTACTCATTCCGTAACACAAAAACTGAAAAAAACAATAACAACAACGAATAAACTAAACACAATATCAATTTCCGACCGTTTATTATAACTAATCCGATGCCCGCGGTACGTCGAATCCTTCGATTCTACAGCACTGAACGCGTTGGATTATTCTACTGTGGTTTATCTTTAAATAATGTTAATTCGTGGAGGATCTTGGCATTCTCTTGGAAGCAAAAATGTTTGTTCAATAACCGTATATTCAAAATGATTCAATCTTGTTTGTGAAAATGTGCTTACTTTATTTTTTTCTAAAACAAATGGTGCTACCGTTATTTCATACACATCAATTTGCATATATAAATAATCTCAGAATTCCGATTAGAACAAATTTTTGGCAGGCACCATATTATCAGATTGTGTCATCAAGCAGGGGCTCCTGATATCGAGAACAATAGTAAACCGACTTGTTCAAAATGACATATCATTTGTTTAGACTCATTTTTAGAGATGTTGGGTGTTTGGAGATTCAAAGCAATATACAATTCATGATAAAGTGAAACGACATCAGGCATAAAAAACATGTTTTTGTTCAAAATCCCTACGAAACAAATTATGAATATAATGGTCCAATTTCAATTCTTCCAAGATTGGTAAACGAGAGAGGCTCTAAGATGGTGCGGCGAAACCGGGCCTCGACCAAGGGGGCATTAAAATCATATATGCACATATATAATTATAAATATTCATTGAGAGTACCGGGAATAGCTGTCTTCCCCATTCCCTGCTGGAAAGTCTGTTAACTTTGTTTTATTCTTCTTTGGGTTGGTCTCTGAGGGTCAAACGTGTCAATGAATCTCCATGAGGAAACAACTGATGCAGTTGCAGCATCAGAAGTATTGTCACTGATTCAATACACAAAGCAATTGGAATTCTTACTAACACTGGTGGTTTGGTAAGACATATTGCTAGTAAAGCTAAGCAATCTGAAACCATAGATTTACCAAATATATCGCAGCTATTGAAGAAGTACTTAGAATTCCTGATATGGTTTAAGAGCTATTCATTTATTCATCTACCAGGTTTTTGGTCTTATATTTGCACAATCGAGAATGTATTGATCGCTAGATTTGAACAGCTTCCAAAATTCAGCAATTCCTGGTTCGTAGAAATTGTACTGCGCGCGAACAATAGGGTAAAAATATGAAGGGCTGAACCTCAGTAAATGAATTGAATGAAATGAATATTTTTTTGAAATACAGTAGGTATATAAACTCCGTTTAGAAAAATATGACCGCAGGAGGTAGCATTTCAATTTGATCTATGAACTGTGTTTTCTTGGTAATACATTTTTTGTCATTATCTTAGTTGATTTTTTTTGTTTTAGATCAAATAATACCGGCTGCAAAGAAGAATCAAGAAGAGGCAACGATAAGAAGTGATGGAAAATAGGCACTTGTTTGAATTGTACCCCAATGTACTGAAAGGGTATACTTTAATTTCAGATAATGTAGTCTCTACTAGAAAGTATTTAATATTTACTCCGAAATATTATAATATCTTTACAATGTCTATTTTGGCTGTTATTTGGTCATTTTTATGCATTTATACAAAAATGCAAGGATCGACAACAAAAGTGAGATGATTTTAGACGTTGTATAACTTTTATTATTATTCTGATTGTATGGATTCAGAGCTGTGATTGTAGTAAGGAAGACACTTTTTCAGATTATTTGTTGTTTTTTCAAATTCTCGTTAGGCGCGATCTAGGTTTATTTGTTAAAGATTCAGCCTGTTGAACTTTCATCAGTTAGGACTGATAGGGTATTTTTCAAAACAGATCTCTAATAAAGGTGGTTTTGCGAAGTTTCTGTTTAACCCAGTTCACTTCTAAGTTCGACCGAGTTTTGGCGAAAAAGTGTTCTACCAGTCAATAGAATAAAGTTCTAGTCGTTAGTCTAATTATATTATCAATTTGGTTATAAAACTGATATATTGTGTAAAACAATATTTACTTCGCTTATTTTCTATTCATGTGAAAATGAATAATTGTTATATAACTTGTTGAATTTTTGTACTTAGATTTTCTATCGAATTTCATTTTCAACTATTCACTATTTTTCACTGCCACTATGTAGTATAGAAATTTTCAATTGTTTCGGTTGCTGAAAAAATTGAATATAAAACAATAGTTATTCTCACCTACGGAAGCAATACAAAATAATAGTTCTTGATTTGATGATGTTTTTCACAATAAAATATTGCATGTTATCATAGTACTCATTACGACAAAGCGAAAATTCCTTCATACTAAAATCCATAAATGTCTACTATTAGAACTTGAATTTGATTATTTCAATTTTAGTCATTCAGAATTTGATAGTACTTATTGAGAATTGTGATGGAATCGGCTTATAGACAAACCTCTAGAAGCTATTATATAACAAAACATGTATTGTGTTTTTGTAAAACTGTTTAGTGAAAAATTCATAATAAAGTGTTTCTTGTATACTCATAAGAACATATATCCACAGATTATTATTATTGAATTCAGAGTCCTTTGCTGAAGTTGATAAATGGCAATATTGAATGAAAGTCATGTTTATATAGTCGACACCAATATGCTTTTCCCAATTGTTTTATCCTGAGTGTACCAAACCTGATTTTGCTAAGCAAATAATTTGATGAAATCTCGAGATGTACGTCGTGAGATTTTATCTTGAATTATCATAAATGAACACATTTGCATAAAATCAAAACCTTCAAAATTATGGATTTCTAGCAATTCAATCAATTGAGCGACGACAAGGGATAACTGTTGAGATTATTCCCAGAAACAGCAAACGATAATTATCATCAAACTTGTACTTTAAGTGAATATAATATTTTCATTTATTTCTTAACAACTATTAGACCTACTAAATTCTAGTAATCAGAGATGAGAAGTATGTAAAATAACACCAAAGTAGTGATCACTCTGAAAAACTAAATATGTTGTAGCTTTCCTTATACACAACATGGTTTCCTATAGAATCTCTTAAGTTTTGCTGTGCCATCTTGTAGCAATAGTCCTCTTGAATTGTAAACAGCTTTTCTTTTTCTCATGTGAATTGCTTCGTTCTTCGTTCAATGAAAGTCAGAGGAAATTTGAATTATATCCGAACTGGTATTTTTTTAAAACAGTTCGATGATTCTGCCTTTTTTCGTATTTCTTCTCAAGCAGTCATTTTATATAAATCTGTACTATATAGAAGAAGGTACAGAGATTCTATAAGTTCACACCACTAAAGCTCAAGATTCATTGGAGATCATCCTTATCTCAATGTTTACTTCTCGTTGGCCACCAATCATTTTCAAAATTTGTTTTGACAGTTTCAATCCTATCAATCATCAATTTCTGATATATTCCCGATGTTCATTCTCGAATAATTTGGATGGTCTTGATGTTTCACAATTAAAAAATTTACTACAAGAATAAAGTATGGTATGTTTTGTGTGTTTTATCTTGGAGTATTTTCATTTTAAGGAACGTTCTAATTCCTTTCACCGTATCTATCGCCAATTCGTTCAACATTCTCAGAAATACTCGTATATGGTGTACTCAAAACGTTAGTTGTGAAAAGTATCGAGTTTAATTGATAAATCTCGAGTTGGTGTTTGTGAAGTTACCTTGCTATCATTTCTTTGTGTGATACAGTCCATTTCTCATACCTTTTCTAATACTTATATAACGGTTTGATGTCTGAAGGAGGTATCCATTAGTTCTTCCCAGAAGCCGTGATCCCATTAAATCCAACATCAAGAAAATGAAACTGAATATTTTGTTCAACCTCCATTGTGTTTTACTGTTTGCTGGTGTTAGTGTAAGTGATTTAACAGCAAAAACATCATCAACGTTTGCACACCACACCTTTGCCCTGTTCCTATAGGTTTCGATGAAATATTTTCTAACTGTTCCATAGAAAATCATTGACTAGGAGATATACCAAAAAAAGGTAACAAAGATCTATGTATATTATAGAAAGAAACTATTTTGTTGGTTTGAGGTGCATAACTGACAAATAACGAAAATATTTTTTAAAGAAAACACTTTTTCAAAATGGTTTCTGTTAGAAGGGGCATTGGGTACTTCTGCTGCTCAAGTTCAAGTTCAAATCCTATAGTAGTGTTAGCTCGAAAGAAAGTTGGCTAATATACTGTTTGTGATGTTTCAGTATATTGATGAAGGAATTTTCACTTCGTTAACGTGTTGCCTGCCTTAGCGTTGAAACAAATATCAATACGTTGACGCCAAAGTGAGTTTTGTACCTGGGTCGAAAATTTAAGCCTTCAGGCCACAGTGCGCAGAGATACTTTATGAGTGCCGTAATGAATTTCATCGTCATTTTTAAATATTCCTTATTTTTACTTAAATATTTGCGAAAAGATGTCTTGGTCACATAGACCAATATGGCTTATTTCAATACTCGACATAGTACTGCGCCAACGCCGTCACTATTTTGGCCAGAATTTATGAGCAGTTACTCAGATATGAACCCTCATTGAAAGTTATGATATTTATTTACAGAGTAAGTTTGTGAAGTATTATGTTTGAGATTAAAATAGTTAGTAGATTCAAATAGTGAATGTATAAATTGATCTGTACAAACTGGACTGTTGCAATCCTCCATTTTGGCCAGATCGATCAATCTGTATTGGCAGATTGGGTAATTGGCATGTAGGACATGATAAATATTCTCAGTCGTATTGATCAATGTGGCACCCCGGTCAAAAGGAAGTTTTCGGTCAAATTGACGTTTCTAGCAAATAGTCAGTCAACATGTTGAAAATAAATCTCATTTATAATTAGGAATTCAAAACTAGTTTGGAATTATTCCAATACATAAGGGTCTGGATAGATTCATAATGTTTTCTCCTAGTTATTTTTGGTTTCTGTTTTTTATTGTGAAGAACTCTCAACCTCCTAGAGCTTGATCTTTCAAAAAACTTAAAGTTCGCTCATACATATCATTATAGAATAATACGTAATATAGTAAACTATTATTCTCAACATATTTACCTGCTGTACAATGATGGAAAATCCTGGAGTGTATATATTTTATTTGTATTTCATAGAATGAGTAAAGGAATTTGTTGGTGCTCAATAATAAAGTGTATTCCAATGCACAAATTATAAGTTTTGTTTACAGTATTTTGTCAATTATCAAGAGGGAAGGTTTGGTTTCACAAAACATGTAAAAACAAGTACCTGCAGGCAGGATTATTTCATATAAATAAGTTATGAGAATTCCCTCCTTTGTATATAGCTGTTGTTTGTTTTTTGAAATTTTATTCTTTAAAACTAAATAAATATAATTCCTCTATATGAAATGAAGTACTTAAGTATTATGTAAATTTAATGTTGATATTTACAAATGAAGGCTTACAACTTTTAATCTTGACTGCATCACTAGAAAAATATATAAAGTAGTTCTGCAGTACGGAGTTCATCTAGAGAGTTTAGAGCAAAACATATTTTCAAAATATTTTTTAATCAAATATATTGTCCAGCATGAATGAATCGAATAGAAAAGACTACTTAGTATTCAAAATATAACTACATCTTTTTCTTACTGGTGTTAAGTATAATGAAATGTATTATTTCCTTATCTAGCTAATGAAAAGATTAATCTCATGACTGATAACCAACACATAATCAAGTTACGGTTCTTGCATCTTCGGTATCCTGATTCCTTAAACCAAATGGTCGTGACGATTCTCTACTTGACATTATTTGTTTTTTTTTCAGTATTGTACAGTAATAATATTCATATTTTTATATTTTATCAATTTGTTCTTCAAGGAAAAGATTCCACGTGAAAATGTGACTTACTATTAATGCTTTTTTCATTCCAAAATAGTTGAAGAATATATATTAGATGAAGAAATGCTTCGTATGCCAACTTGACTCTGAAGGAACTTATTACTGATTGGATATAACTTCTTCACCATCCTTCAGCTATTTTTTCTCTCAAAACTATTGGTATTGTTCAAAAAGTTATGGTAAAGATGCTCTTCTGAGAAAATACTCATTCAAACCCTCGCAATTCTGTTATAATTTTCATATTCTTAGAATTCATATTCTTATCATTCCTGATAACTTTGTGATACCATCAGCCAGAAATCGCAACAGGATATGGATACAGTTGCGATACCTCATATGGTGCAAGTATTAAAGAATTAAATTTTCAGTGTTGAGCTACATCATTTCACACACTGTCCTGTGTAAAATTATCCTCGTGTTTTTATGTGGTCGTTTTTTCCTGAAATGGAACAACTTCATGATTGAACCAGATTCATTTACTGTTATTTTTTTATTCATTTCTTACTTTGCCACCAAACTGGGGTAACGACTATTGTATGTAGAGAATATATTTCTTTTTCTCAGGTGTCATCAAATGCAGACACTTGTTGCTTGACCAAGTTGTGATCTAGACATTCGGCAAGCTCTCTTACGGCAACTGTTCGCCGTTTTACCAAAAACGATGATGGTATCTGTATACTTTTTCTACTTTTTTCGAATGATTTATACCACTTTCAAAGGTCATTTGGTTAATAACCACGTAACATTGTGGTTATTTGATTGGAACCTCTGGGGTAAACTGATCTATTGAAAACGATTTTCCAACACCAGATGTCTCTTAATGCACGTTTTACTAACCAAGTTAGCATCACTAGTTAGCATCTTCTGCTGATGATGCTTAATTTATTGAAGAGATTGTATTTTTGTTCTGGTGTGGAAAAAGTGTTTTCAATAGACTGTCGTTATTTATTCAAAGGGTTTCACTAAACATTTTACGGTACAACCTATTTTCTCTAAATTTCAATAATAGCTTGGCAATAAAACTAATCGTCATAATAATGCATCAAGACAGCAGAAGTTCTGATTTGCTATATTTCATTATACAACCTCCAGTAAGTTGTTAAACTGTTTCTTAGGAATGATGAAAATATTATATTTGAGTCTTCTGAAATCGAAATACAATCAAAAATCAACAATCCTTAGTAGTAAAAATATGTAGTAGTATGTCTGAAACATTCACTGGATGAAAGTCTGAAAGAGTGTAAATAAACGTTCAGTGAAAAATGGAGAAAGCTTTGAATTTTTCAATAAAAGTTTGAAAAGGTTACAACAACACCAATATATATCGAAAATATGTAAATTTGTATTTTAACAAAACTGATATCTATAGGAATAAAGTTTTATTGAACCATATATTCAAATTAAATTTTATATCTATGAGACATTACATTACCTAAAGTGTATTTAAATATACTGTAGTAAAAATTTATTTTAGTCAAAATATTTATTTCTTGAATATTCAGTATATAAGCTTTGAAAAAAACTTATACAATAACAGTAAAAAAAGTAGTATTTATAAGGTAGATAATTTTCGACTATTTAATAGATAGGAAGGTACTGATTATTTTTCATATACTGGTTGTATTTTTTTACGATCTCAAAATATTGCTACCTTGACCTAGGCTACGTTTTGCTTCTCTGAATTGGCTAAAGTTCAAATATTTAGATGTGTATATACCTACTCAAAAACATTCATATTCTACTTTCTATACTGTAACTGTGTTATTTTAGGAACCCTACAATATTTTTTTCATCTAATGATATGATCTGTCTCCCAGTAGTTATTGTCAAATGTTTTTATTCATGTACAATCTGAACAATTTCAAAATGGTGATACTTTTTTTTGGGGTATCATCGGCATCGACTCCATTGGTCATTAGCCTCGTGTCCTGGGTAGACAATGTTAATTACTTCCTGAGTCACCTAGGTAGCATCATGGCTATTCGCAGTCCGTCAGCCATGTAAGGTTGCAGAATCATCTCAGCTTCAACTAGATAAATTCTCTCGAGAAAAATATCTGGTCGAGGTTGAGATCAAACTCTGGTCGTAAGTCAGGCGCACTAGCACTGCGCCAATTTACCGCCAAAAAGGTGTTTTTTCCGACATCAAGTTCATTTGCTAATTTTCAGCTTTTTGAAACATTACTGGAAAGTATGAAATTCAAACAGTACATAGCCTTTGTCCAATTTAGCGCATTGTGTACATAGTAGCAATATTTGTACATCTCTGAAAAATAGGGTATTTTCCATATTATATATACATATACACAAAATAATCAGTACTTATTTAGATTGTAGCTGCACAGTACCTACATATATCTATATTTACTTGTTCATGATAATTCATTAGAAGTTCAAATTATTGTTATATACACACACTTCCAAACACATGTATAGCTGAACATGTCCACTGTATTTTTCACAATAGTTCTGCTGTTCTGCACTCAAAGAAACATGTTCTCTGTATTTGTTATACATTTCTGGTACTAACAGAAGATATAATACAATTCCAGAAATTTTACTCAGAAATCTGTCAAATATTGAACAATCATGTATTTTAAAACATTCATTTTTTCTGCTGATCTGAAATTATGTTTTGTTGAATATTTAAAAAAATCCTACCTTTAATTTAATTGATCTACTAATACCAATCTACTTTGGAAAAATTCCAAATAATTGTGGAAATACACAACAAGTTGATGAAATGTTGAAAACCAAATATTTGTGTAGATGGTTATTATAATTTTTCTGTCAACTCTAGAAAATGTTAACGAAAAACTAAAGCACTATGAAGATTATCACTTGTGAATTATCATGTGAGAAACAATATCATATAATCTGTTAGTGTGTCTTTATGATACTTTCGCTGTACTTAATGATAATTCAATTATTAAGACAGATACGTACTTCTTTTCTCATTGTGAAGTAGACATTATTCATTCTCCTCCAAAAATATTTTTCATATTTTTTTCAAGAATGGGTTTTGCCTTCTCAAGCAATTTGTATTGACTCGTGTCATTCCACTGAAAAGTTTAGCTTATTTTGATATAAAATCTTACCTTTCTTGTTTACTTTATATTAAAATTGTTACATGTCGTTTTATAATGTTTTTTTAGAATGCCCATATGAGTGCAGATGTTAACTATTGGTACATAATATAATTGTGACTAATAAACTCTTCCTAAATTGAATTATATATTTTTTATTTGTGAACCTATGATTTGTCCAATTCTTAGTGACGTTACATCGTTAATTGATTAATACTAAATAAAATACATCACATTTCAAAACTTGAATCAAATTGCTATTCTTCATAACAATACATTTAAGAAAAATATTTTAGTGGGCTCGTTTATTCTACTGAGTGTTTTAAGTAATTTATTTCGGAAAATGTTTCAAACTGTTTACTAAGATTAAAAAAATCCAACTCTCTGCTATGGTTTGAAGTCAACAGAGTAATAATTTGTATGAAAATGAGGCGTTCCAAAATGTGTTTGGGAAATAAAATGATTTTTAGTATGGTGGTTCATTAATTACAAGCTCCTTTGGTGGAATTTTCTATAAAAGAATATCGGTGAACATTCCGTAGAACATAGAACATATGGTTGTCTTCATTTTACGGGTGAAGAGATTTGAGTAGAATTGCACTGACAAGAGTGGGAGATCCTCATTCTAATATATATTTGTTGGGTCCTCCTAATAATAATAGTAAGAGGAGAGGGAAAAAACAGATGAAATATCGAGATTTTATCTTCGAACTCCTTAGATTTTAGCTCGACCACACTGGTAATATGGTTGTGCTCATCATTGGAGTCCTTGGTGGAATGATACCCAATCTACTCTCGTGCGGCTTGCCACACGATGGCAGAAGTCTTGGCTGGACAAATGCAGACGGTTGTCATATTTTTGGCTCATTGGGTCTGTTTACGGCACCTGATTCCGGACCTCTTGATCACTGGGAGTGGTCATTGGTTGATAATGCTGACGCAAGAAATATCCTGTATTTTAGATAACATTGAAGGGTAATGATAGTAAAAATAATTCACGAATATTACAAAAAACATAAATAATTGTAGTGTAAGCTTATATTTGCTCACTGTTCAGCATAACTTTTTTAGGGAATTTATGAATTTACACATAGTATTAGAATATCTAAATGTTTTTGATAATGAATTTATATTTTTTCCATCATGTGAAATATATCACTTTCCATATAGTATAGGAACGTAGGCTTTCTCGGATGGCGTCAATGTTTTGGTTGGTTTCCTTGTTTTGCCGTGGTCTTTTTTGGTTATAATCTTCAAACGTATCAACTGCAATTGCGGCAGTCATTTTCAGTGCGTGGTCGAAGTACTCTCCTTGACATACTCTTCTTGAGTTTCAGTTGATACGTCAAGAAGAGTATCTACTTCGACAACGCCACTGAAGATGACTGCCGCAGTCCGCGGTTGAAACGTTTGGACATTGTAACAAAAGAAGTCCACAATAAAGCATGGAAACCAACCAAAATATTTCCATAGTATGTATTGATTTGTTTTGAATATAAAGAATTAATTTGCCTTGTTTAATTATTATTTTAGCATTGTTAGATAATCTTCCTGTTATTATTTTTGAATGTTTCAAATGAAAACATATTCACTTCAGTTCCATTTATTGAATACCTCGAGAATCAACCAAAAACCCAAAAAGCATATACGATACATAAAAAACAACCAAAAAAACATAACATTTTTATGGATAACTCACCAGTGGCAGGTGGCTAAAAATTCTCAGACAGACAACAAAACTGGTAATCGAATTTACCACAATCATGAATATTGGCCATGAGATTGGTTCTGACAACGGTAGTTTTATTTTTGTTTCCTTACTGCTTTCCCTGTTATTGTGGAATTTGAACTCCAGATCAAAATTTAATGTAATTTGGAATGAAATCAACAAAAATTATTGTCTCTTAAATATTGGATTTGAACATAATGACACACTCTGTACAAAACGCTAAAGAATGAAGAAATTTTATTCCACCAGATCAACTTGTCGACTATACTTACGTCAAAGAATTTAGGTAGTTATATAAAAAAACTAACCAATACAGTTTATTGTATATGATTTTCACTATAAGGGTTTTACAAAAACCGCGACATGTGTTTCGCTATACAATAGCTTCTTCAAGCATAAGAGTTTATGCTCAACAATAGCTTCTTCAAGCATAAACTGTTATACTTGAAGAAGCTATTGTATAGCGAAACACGTGTCGTGGTTTTTGTAAAACCCTTATATTGAAAATCATAAATCAAACTGTATTGATTAGTTTTTAATATGGATTTTCATCAAGTATCGGCCAGTTCTATTCAATTAGGTACTTATATCACAACATTTCAATTGTATACCATCATATATGATTGGTTGTTGTATAAAAAATGTTAAAAAAAATGAACATAAAAGATTATTTTAATAAGTTAATTTCCAATTTATGAGTTGCAGACAAAAACAGTATATCAGAAACAATACAGGTCCCATAATGGAACCCTGTGGAAGACCACAAGAAATTATTTTATGAATAATTTTATTATCTTCAATGTACCTACACATATTGTTGTCTATTTTTTAGGCTAGTATAACAATCACCTCTCATTTCTATATCGGAAAAATCAGTTTGAGAATTTGCTATTTGACCTTATTAAATGATGCAACCCCATGGTTGCCAACTGCGTTAAAATAATGACATCACCTGATTTTGATTAGATACATTTTATTTGTGAACTATTCACTTCTCTAGTGTTAGGTTTTCAACCAATTCATTGTAATGACTATATAGATCTGAATATAGCTACTTATTTTGGATTTTTTTTCATTTTTGCTAATATTCGTTTTTATAAGTTTTGTGAGTTACTTTGTTGAATCAGAATTTTGATTCTTCTCTGATTCTCTGAATTTTTATGTATGAATTTTCAAAAATGATGAATATGTTATCATCAAAACTGTTGGAATCGTTGAATGCCTGCATAGGCAAAATGTATTCATGGTTTAGCCTAGCACCTCTGACGAGGCCTATGGCAGGTCTTAACAGCGCTGCCTGAAACTGGATCATGAATGATCTATTTTTTGATCTTTGTTTCATCTAGTTTTAGTGAATTGAGAAAAATGTATATTGACTTCCAAATGAAAAATGACACTTTGACACCTAAATTTGGTTTCAAAGATGGACAAGAACAATTGTTTCGTATATATCATTTGTACAAAAAATACGAAATGTTTGTAAATTTTTAGTTTTTATTGAATCCAAAAAATGACCTTTGACTAGTAGTTGGTTTCAAGATGGAATTAACTTCTTCAATAACTTCTTTATCGTCAAATAGCTCAGCAAGCGTGCGAGCTTCATTCAACCATTGCTCGGCTGTACTATCAGCACCTAACTTGATATAAATCTTACCAAGCTTCAAATAAAATTTTGGCAGGTCCAAACTTCCTATACCTTTCCCGAGAAGTATTGCGCTGTATATATTTTGCAGGGCAATATCATAATCTCCCAGTTGTGTATTCAATTCAGCTAAAGTACCCAGAATCACCATTTCTTGATAGGGGCTCAAACCTTTTACTTTCATGGAAAAGCTATATGCAGAGTCTATGAGATGTTTTGCAGAGTTGTAATCTGAACATTTGATTTTATGTAGACCATACCAGAAGAGACAGTTCACATAAAGCATCCCTGTTCTAGTTGACGTATCTCCATCTAGTATTTTGGATTTCTGTAGGTCAAGGCAGTTCTTGAAACCTATTTCTGCCAGAGTATCTTCGTTGTGAACGCTATATATTCTGGTTAGGCGTAGTTTGAAGTCAACCAGTAGGCTATCGCTCTCGGGTGTTCCCAACTGCACCATTTTTTCGATTACCTGAAAAAATATTGTTTTACTGAATTGACATATTATTTATTTTTGATATTGAACCACAAAACAGAAGGAATTGAATTTATGAAAAGTTATTGAAAACCATGTTTCTCTTTTTTTATATCATACAATTAACTAAAGGTTCTTGTACTTGATACCGATATTATTGACTAATATTTGATTATAACTTTTTATATTTTCTTCTTGAATACCTTCATTTCAATCATTTGTTCAGATATATGTACCAAATCTGTATATGATCATTTTGAGCCATGTAAATGTGAAACTCTACTTTTCATCAATGAAGTGCTTCACTTTCCAAAAACCAATTAATCGTAGGGTTTCATTGAAATGAGCTAATCAACATTCAACTGGTCTCCTGACATTTTATCCTAGTTTAATTTTGTTTGATCGCGTTCTTAGTCAAAACTCCTGTTTTAAGAGACTTTTTCTCCAAAGGATGTTTGGCCAGGTAAATGAATATAGTTTCCTTCTTCCCAAGATCACGTCAAATCCACCGTCTTCAATTGCTTTGTAACCAAGATATGAGATCTAAATAGCTCAAACTTCAACAATAAGTATTACATCAACTCCTACACGGAAACTTTCATAAAGCTACGAAACCAATGACATACCAATTTCGGGTTTGCCGGTACACCTCTAAGTGAAAAAACTGTCAAATCTGGATCAAAGAATAACCTTCTGATCTAAAGAAGAAAAAAAATCATCGTCAAACTGGAATATATTGAAACCCAAGATCATCACGAAGCCATCACTCTGAACACTGAAACTCGCACTTGCAACAGGTGAGTGTGAGTGCTGGAGAGTCTACCTATTATTGCCAAAAGTTGTATGCAAGCTATCGCCTCTAAAAATGTCGCCCACGACAATCTGCAGGCAAATCTGCATGCCAATCCGACGGTGATTTAGACAAACGACTTATTGAAACATCGTTCATGAAAATATGTGAATTTTCATCAGTTTCGGATTGGAGTGAAGTTATCCACAGATTTCTGGCCACACATGCTGACGTAGAGGAAAATAAAAATCTGTGGTTGGGATACGAAATTATTAGCATCCGTACTAATATATGTGGCTGGAAATACCTATTCACTATAGGTTGAACGTGGAATTATTAAGACTATTTGGTGTTTAACGTTTTTATAGATTCTTGAGTAGATTGACGTGTTGATAATCGTTTTCTCATCAACAATACAGATTTAGGGAAAAATAAAATTGGAAATATTAGACGAACTTTCCAATACCCCATATAGAAATGATATCCGATGATGTGCGTTCATCAAAATCACACAACTTCCATAGTTTCTTGAGTAGATTAACTTGGTGATAACAATGTTCTTGTCATCTAAACAGATTTCGAAAAAGAAATTGTTGAAACAATCAGACTAATTTTTTGAGATTCCTTATATTCATGAAAAGCACACAACTCTTATAGAATTTTGAGTAGATCAACACAATGAAAACCCTTTTCTTGTCATCCATACAGATTTCGAGAATAAAAATGTTGAAACGATGAGACTAATCTTTTTGAAACCCCTTGTAGAATTGAAACCAGATTATGTGCGTGCATAAAAATCGAACAAGTCTTATGGATTCTCGGGTAGATTGACGTAGTGATAACAATTTTCTTGTCACCAAACAGATTTCGAGAATAACATTTTTGAAACGATCAGATTAACTTTTTAAAACCCCTTGTAGAATTGAAATCAGATTATGTGCGTGCATAAAAATCGCACAAGTCTTATGAAATCTTGGGTAGATTGACATGGTGATAACAATTTTTTTCTCACACGAACAGATTTGGAAAACAAAAATGTTAAAACAATCAGACTCATTTTTTGAGATTCCTTGTAGAATTGGAACCAGAAGATGTGCGTTCATGAAAATCACACAACTCTCATAGAATCTTGGATAGATAAACACAGTGAAAACCGTTTTCTTGTCATCCATACAGATTTCGAGAATAAAATTGTTGAAACGATCAGACTAATCTTTTTGAAACCCCTTGTAGAATTGAAACCAGATGATGTGTGTGCATAATAATCGAACAAGTCTTATGGAATCTCGGGTAGATTGACGTAGGGATAACAATTTTCTTGTCACCCAAACAGATTTCTGAAACAAAAATGTTGAAACAATCAGATTAATTTTTTGAGATTCCCTGTAGAATTGGAATCAGAAGATGTGCGTTCATGAAAATTACACAACTCTCATAGAATCTTGGGTAGATCAATATAGTGAAAACCGGTTTCTTGTCACCCATAGAGATTTTGAGAAAAACATTGTTGCAACAGAGTCTGTGTGGCCAGAAATCAGTGGATAACTTTACGCCAATCAGTTTCGGTAGGTTCTTCAACCTGTCTTAAGGATTTTATCTCATTGTTGAAATAGCTGCAGAGCCTAAAAGGGCAGGAAAATAACTTTGAAATAACGGTAGACCACTGTAGACCATCAATACGGTTTCTGAATGCAAAGATTAACAGACCAGGCGACCTTCCTTCATAAATGTCACCTATTTATGGGTGACAATGCAATCGAGAAATACATACTTTCTGGCTCCTATACACAAAATTTCCCTAGATTATGTCTGATAAGAGAATTTACCAATATCTTCGATGTCCAGCTTGCTGGATTGTCTATGTTCGATTCTTGAACTTTTTCAAATAGGTACCTACTGTTGTCACCGATGCTTTTCTTTTAAATATCAACGCAAGCAATTCATATGTCTCCAACTCTTTTTCTATTATACACCAATTACTTTGCTGACGACAGCTCACTTGTCTCTTCTTTCCTTTCAGAATCCCGAACATCAACAGCCAGAATGTTCATGTACAAGAATTGGCAAACAAATTTGGGTTAGACTGACATTCAGGTATCAGCTTGCAACACCATAAGGTATTTTTTTGCGTTGTCCATAGCAGGGAAATTACTGAGCATATCCACGTCTACTCTCCTGGATTTTAAGCATATTGTAACAGATTTAAAGAATTAACTGTCCTAAACAAATTTATTACGAACAATATTTCACTGTCACAAACTAATTTATTTACAATACTTAGCACTTGATTTATTTCCACTATTTGAATTCCTTGTTTAACCGCTCGATTCACTTTCTGAACTCAACTGCCCTCTTGGGACGAGAAGCCACCTTATATATCGGTAACGATCGTTCTAGAATTCTATAGTTGTTTCGGTACTAAACTAGAGTTTAATCGGCGGTTGCCGACTAGTTGACTCAATAGTATATATACCTCAAGAATGTGTGCCAGGTTATAGTACTGAAGTTTCAGTCTAATGCGGTCAGATGAAAAAGGTACACGTGAAAATCTTGGAAACAAAATAAAACTTCTCCTCAGACATAAGTGCAAAGATTCCCACTTTGGAGAAACAACTTTGTAAGAGCTATATAGGACAAATAGTGGGACTTCGCCTGATTCGAACAAGAAACCAACTGGGGACCGTTTTGAAGTGTTCCTCAGCAGTGCAGACCATGCTATCACGGTTGTATACAGACAGGGCCTCGGTATTCCTCCTAGAGAGCTCTTGCAGAGTTGTTCCTTCACACATATGTATATATAAGTATACTGTGGTATAAAGGAAACGAAAAGGTTATGATTGCATTTTGCACTGTTGCCAATGCTACAATTATCGTAATCCGACATGCTATTGAAGATTTGACAAAATGATCACTTTCGAATAAAATATACGTGGAATATTTCTGAGGACCGACGCCTCATCCAGTAATATTCCTGCAATCAGAATTTGATGGAATAAGAGACCACCTTTAATATTTTTTCACTATTTGTAAAATAATATACCACAGTAGGTTGGGTGAAACCCATAAAATTCGATAACTATGGAAGGGTTGTGTGCCTGTCTTGAACTCGTCGTTTGCGCAGACCTGAGACTGCAACTCCTGGGTCTGCGTGTAGAAAATTCAAACCAAAAATCACCCGAAGTGGAATTACTGTAGATAAGTATACTGTGGTTATACAGTGCGAACGTAAAAAGATCACGTCTCTCTTAACTTTCAAGTAGTATTGGATAGCAAAGGACTGAGTATCAAGGTCGGGCAAAATTTACATAAAAAGGTATTATTTTCAGTACTTCATGGTGAGAAAGACAATGGTGTTATGTCTCGTGATACATTGTTTAATATGTCTTTCAATTCACTTTCCAAGTTTTTTTTTCTATCAGACCAGACGATGCTAGGTATTTATCAGGTTTATATTCACTTGAGAATTTGCGATCTCACGATAAATATCATATCATGTATTCATCAATAAGTATTTATCGTGGAGATTTGGAGAAAATGTCTGTTACAAATCTTACACAATCTGTTAAGTTGGTAGTCGTTGGACTAAAAGTTTAGAAACCCATATATTTTTACGGAAGAAATCTGGTCAACCAAAAGAAAAAGGCAAAATGTCTGTTATGCCAAATACAATTGTAAATTGGTATACTTGAAGACAGATACAATTTTGAAATAGCCATCGTTATGGTCTTATGGTCATAATGAAATTCAGACTATTTAAAAAAAGTGAAAAAAAAACATCTTTCTGAAACTATTCTGGTTCTTAATTCCATTGAATTTACCGAAAAAGATATTTATGTACTTACCAATACTTGCAAAAATCGTAAAAAGATGCAGTTTGGGAACATTTACTTACATTCACCAACAAAATTTCCGCTCTTCTCAAATTGCCCGTTGCAAAAGCGATTGATGCTAATATATCGTACATGTATGGCATGATCATATAGGACTGGTACTCCTCACATATTTTTATCCCCATTTCTAAAATAGCCTCTGCCTTCTCCACTTCTCCTCGTTCCAAAGCAATTCTTGCCAGCGTCATCAGATGACCAATGTTCTCTTCCACGTCCCATTCACTTACTTGGGTAACAGGAAGATTTTTTGATGCGACACTCACAGGGCAGCACAGCAATGCTAATGCGGGTTTACACAGTGGGGATGGATGGAATTTGAAGAGGGATTTGTAAAGTAATTGTATTTTTCGTTTATTAGTGCTTCGAGGCGATGATATTAACCTTGTTATTGTTTTGAAAAGTGAAATCATGAAAATGGTTTAACAAAAATTTTGAATTAGTGACGTGGAATCATTTTGGGAGTGACATGATTGTCAATTTCTAGACAGCCGCATATCTCTCAGAATTTGAAAGATACGAGGCATGACTTCGTGCATTTTTGTTTTCAGAAGAAATATGATGCACTTATTCATTTTAATTTTTCAGTAAATCATTCGGTTTTCGGTATTTTCCTTTAGAATGAAATCCGTGATGAATATCAATTTTGATTTAGATAACTATCGTATATTTGAAAATGGTGCCAGAAAAAGCACATTTTTTTTCTAAACAGAGAAATATTCATAATTATATAAAGCGGTCAGGTTTAAATTCATCCATCAAAAATTGTTGTTTTTGGGGATTGTTGAATAAATTTTGCAGACGTGGTTCAAATGTAACTTTATTTCACTTTGAATACAACAAACACTTCAACTATTATTCGAATGTATATCGCCTTACTAGATCACTTTGCGTACCGCACTGTAACGTCCACTTGACTATCTCGATATGCTTGTGGCTAGCCTTTATATATCGTAATTGAATACGCTAGAAAACTTCGCCGAAATGCCGTCGAAATCAGTGGCATTATTCGAGCTACATCTAGAACATCGTACATTCGCACGCTCTTAGCTACATCACAATTGGCTACCAGTGGCGGCCGGTGTTATTTTCTTTAGGGCATGATTTACAACATGTCGTGAAACAAAACTAGTTTGAAATTTCACGAGCTCCAGTACAAGGACCGCCCACTTAGAACGAACATTAAGAAAACGNGAACATCACAACCTATGTAAGGACTCAGCCTCTCTATGTGGACAATTTTAGGTTTGCTTCTGGGTAACAATTGGATTCTGTACACCAGATCGTTTGTTTTTTTGGTTACCAATTAAGGTCCTTGCCATGGTCTCTGCAACTTGGGACACAAACCTTTCCGACGTTGGGAGCAAATTCGTGTACAATTTCCAGTCTCTCATTCAGGTCATTCACAAACTCTGAAAGACGTATCTATTGAGATATTGAAGTAATACTGTATTTCACATCAAGAAATAATATCACAAAACTCTAATAAAATAAATATTTCAATAATGAACAATGCGCACTATCAAAAAACCGGCATACAAAATAAAACATGTTATTACCTCTTGGAGAGTAAACTAACCATTCACGTACGCTGCGCTGTCCAAAAGTCGCTTTTTTAAAGTTTGTACCAAGAAACGTAAAATTTTCTGTTACTGGAAAGTCTTGGAACTCATCTGATAACCCAGGTTGGCAAGGTCCTTTTGGAATTAGTTGACGCACTATTTCAGGGATCAAAATAGTATTTTTGAATAAGTATCAAATATAAAATGATCCATGTAGAAACACAATGTTTTTCCCACCTTCTTTCCCAGCAGACATATTATCAGAATGGTCTTGTTCTTGAGTACTATCACTATCCAAATCAGAATTAAAATCTACTTCCGTAAATGTTAAATCAAACCTAATGAAAATTCGAATTTTGTTCTTACGTTATAGGTTGATGTAGATGGAACATCTAGAAATGTTGACTCCGTACTGACCGTACTCTCCGTAGTGTCAGGATTATTTGGAACCGACTCTCCTACACAACTTTGAATTAATTGGTCTTTTGTTTCTCTGTAAATGTATAAGTTTCCATAATGAATATGATTTCGGATCTACAACTGAAAATTAAGAACTTACGAATTGAAAGTTTTACAAAAATTTTATTTTGTTTGAGAATGTGATGTAGCAGCATATTTTAACATCTTCTTTTCGCGAAACTTTCGATTATCTGCTCGACAAACTGTTTATTCGTCAAAGTAACAATAACAAACCAGACTACTACTACTGCTATGATACAATCAATTTCCAATCTCATAGAAAATGATCACATTCGCATTTGACAGCGAGCGATATGGGATTCACAACTGATCGAGGTCGAGGTATTGAAAGCGAATGTTGCCACGTTTAATGGTTTTCCGTATTATGTACCTAACAATAGATTTGTGGGAATAATTTAAAATCGGAAGGGCGCTAAGAACAACATGTTGCAAAGGTCGGGCGGGGGTCAAACTGCCCTCCTTGCCCTCCGTGGCGCCGCCACTGCACACAATACATCTATCGGAAGCTTCATTCCCTACCAGTTAACAACATGGATGGTGGCTAACCTGTCGCGTCATGTTGAGAGCTCATGCCAACAGAAAAAGAGGAACCAATTTATCCCAGTCGCTTTGGTTTTTGGAGACAAACATCCATAGGTAGTTATTGCTGGTGCGAATATACCCTTCGACCATTCCATCGGACTGAGTGAAGAGCTGTTGTTCTTGTCTTCTTTATTCCCAACAAAGTCATCATTGCCTTCCACAAATCCGATTCGAAGTTTCGGCCCTGATCCGAGTGTAGTACTTGGGGTACTCCGTATCTGGCAATTACGTTCTGCAACAGGGATTTTGCCACCGTTTTAGCCTCTTGGTTGGGTGAGGCTACTACTTCAGGCCATTTGAAAAAGTAGTCCATCACAACCATAAGCTACTTGTTACCGGATATGGTCATACGTAGTGGTCCCAAAATTTCGACTGCGATTCTCTCGAAAGGGTATCCACTGAGGTACTGCTTCAACTTTTCTCTTTGCCTTGGCTTCGGACCCTTTCTCGAAGAGCACAGGTCACAGCGTTTACACTACTCTTCCACGTCTCGACGGCAATGACCCATTGGCACCTCTCACGCACTCTAGCTAGAGTTCTATTTACTCCGAAATGCCCTCCATTGCGACCATAGAGAAGCAAGTTTCCTGAATGAGGAAATTTTTGTAGATGCTTCTCGTTCATCCACCAGTGCAACCTCGCTGAAATCCATCGAGTGATCATCTGAAGACCGGTTTCAGTGCATGACATATATATGAGCAATAAGGCAGCAAGCAGAGTGTCCGGGACTCGAATGAATTCTTCTTTGGTTGGCATCGTATACGAAACATCCATCTAAAATTAACTCTATTCTCTAATAAAAGCTCCATAATTGGAAATTTACATTTTTTCAGTACATTTGTATCTATCCATCTCATTCTGAATTTGCATCATTTACTTACTAATAAATATTTTGAAAGCAACGAGAACTGTAATTCCACAACTCTAGAGGTGTAGTTAATAAATATAGAGCTTAACCTAGTCACCAAAAGAGGGCACAACCATTCATAATATAAAATTATAATAAATATTGGTTTTCACTGAAAAGACTCAAATACACAGTGAGGCCGTAAATTTTGTGCTATGGAAAGATTGGTCAAAAACCATATTGAAAAATAATATTTGTTATACCCTCCACAATAGCTCTTTATGCATTTTTTTATGAAAAAATACCATAGTCATAGTTTGTGAAGATGTATTGAATGGATATTGAAAGTTTGTTGATAATCGGATTTCCATAAGTGTATAGTATTTATATGATTTCTCATGAATTATAGAGATAACAGTTATTTGTCTGATGACTTACAACTATAACATTTTTCATTGACCTTCTTTGGGTATTTTTACCTCGCACAATCTGAAAAATATGAAAATTCTTATGTAAAACTTTATACACGTGTCTGAAGGGCAAACTTTTCAGTTCAGTTATTGCGTAAATTCAAAGTATTTTTGACAAAGAAAAATGTTCTAATAATCAGTTACTCATCGTATTTGATAATTTTGCCTATCTTTGGGAAATAGATATGAAGTTAGAACTTCTTACAAAACAACAAATACACTGGGATCTATACTCACACATACAAAAGCCAACAACACAGAAAAAAACGATAAATTATAATATTAAGATACCTTGTGGTGAAAGTTATATTGGTGAAACTTCAAGACCATTGAAATTGCGTGGGAATGAACATCGAGAATACATCAGAGATTGTCAGAACACATTTTGAAATCAGACGGTGAACATAGAGTTGAATGAAACACGACGAGAATGATTGTTAATGAACCCCACTCTAAGAGACGCGAACTTGAAGAATCAGCATATATTCCTATATCAGGAGAGAACTGTAGGTATTTCGGACAACTGTTCAGTAACTTTACCATCTTCTGATGACGTTATCTTAGTAATTTTCGTGTTTCGAAAAAGGGATATAGTTCTGATGCGTAGGTGTGTTGTTGAGTGTCGTTTTGTAGACGTTGAAATGATACCAGAATTCCCTCATCACAACTTTATTCTCGATTTATTTACGACATTATTAAAGCTATTCTCATTTATATATTATTTTCGCTAACTTCGTACTCAAGTCACCACATGAACAGTAATCAACGTGACATTTCTGATAGTGAGGAATATGACTCATTTCAAAAAATAAATGTTGATATTCATTGCAAGCAAAGTTGCAAATCCCTTGATTCAGCACTGTTTGAGTTGTAGAATGATCCAAGAAATATCCGAAGGGATCTGTCGGGACTGGTGATAGATGAATTATTAATCAAGCGGACCCAGCGACAAATAATCGTGATGCAAAAGCCATGAATTGTTTTTCACAATACCGGAATTTTTCTTCGTATTGTTTCTCGCAAGCTGCGCATAACTTCAAGATAATACTACATACTACCATGTGGAAAGAACTCCTGATGCACTATGTCAGGAAAACAAAAGAAAACAGTGAACAAAACCTTGACATTTGGCGTGCTGTTTTTGGTCTTGGCTCTCCTTGGCGCTTCCATTGGGACGACTGGACTATGGTTTCGATGTCATAAACCATGATTCGTCACCAGTTATTATCCTTCTGTAACGCCGTTGACGTCATTCAAAAATTTCCGAGCGATCCTCATGCGACGGTTTCTTTGGTCAAAATTCAACAATTATAGAACGAACATCGCTGCCACACACTTCAAGTCCAAAACTTCTGAAACAATTGCATGGCATGAGCTAACTGATATGCTGAAGTCCTCAGCAACCTCTCTTAAGCGATTCGATGATTATTCATAACAATTTTCGTCACTTTCTCAACATTTTCATCGGTTGATGTGCTGGAGCATCCAGGGCGAGCTTCGTTATTCACAACTTTTCGACCTTCTGTGAAAAGCCTGTACTA